TGGGGCCTTGGGAGGGCTGGCAGGAAGGCAATATGGATAATATCTGTTTTGCTGCCCTAGGGCCCTACTGCGCGAATTGCTTCCACCTACACCTGCATCTCCACCTCGCGTGACTGAATGGGTGTATGTATGTATGTATGTATGTATGTATGTATGTATGTATGCGTTTGTGGACTTCGCCACGACGCCGCGCAGCCTGCACTGCCGGCGGAGGTGCGGGTAGTGTCCGGTGGGATCTTGAGCCTGTCCACACCCGCACCCGCACCCGCACCGGAAGCTTTGAGTTCTCGAACGTTCCATTTACACACACACGCGGCCACATCGTCTTCGCCTATGTCAGATGGTTGAGAGCTACACGGCAGTCTCCAGTCGGTGACATGTGTCGGATGCAGGTCCGCAATGGGGAAAGTGGCGCAAGTGGGGGAAAGAGCTGACACGCGCGTTAGGTTACAAGTTACAAGTTCCGCACACAAGTGCGGGTGTGTCCGTAAAAGCCGTTAGGAGGATCGGTATCACGCTGGGCGCAGTTTTCGGTGAGGAGGTCAGCATGGTAAATTCCAAACTGACGGAATCAAATAAAAATGAGAGGATTAGATGTGACGTGCTTCAGGGCTTACACCTCACCAGCAGAAGCCGGTTTGTGAGCTGCTTCGCTTCTTCTGAGGCTTCTGGCGACGAAAGGATGTTCTTTTCACCTTGATGGCTGCATCTCATGGGACGCGATATAGGACATTACTGTGTCTAAAGGCGACCCTCTCAGTCAAGTAGCCATATCGCTGGCACGAACCGACTTTTCAACGCAGGCGCCAAGCGCAGTACATGGGCGGTGCAAAGGTTTGTCAAGATGTGCGTGAGTTGCTTAAGCAGGCCCTCAAAACGTTCGTTGTCGGGCTGATGGAAAACGGCTTCGCGGTTTTCGAAGGTAGAATTTTACCTGCCTCGCAACAATTCCCCCAGAAGCTCTGGCCTTCTTATCCTATGTCGAGGAACTCGCACAGCCGTAACGCAAATGTTTGCGCCGGCGGCGTCTCGCCATCGGCATCTCGCCATGGACGTCTCGCCGTATCCAATACCTGGTATTTAAATTTTGGTAATTATCACCTTTATTCTTGTAATATATTTTATCTTTGCCCCAGAAAGCTTTTGGAAACCATTCCCAGGACTACAAGATACGCTACAACCGTTCATTCTCATTTTTTGCCCAGTCCTGGGCCGGGCCGCCGTACATCGAAGTACCGAGATTAAGAAGGACATTGGGAAAAGATGGGGGCCCTTGTGAAGCAGCTGCCCGCGTTTCTAAAGCACGTATGGTGTTGGATTGTATGGTGCCCAAGTACGTTTGCGAGGAAGATAATGTGGCCAGGCTGGAGAGGAAAGTGCAGTGGCATATTGGAATGTGAGATTAGCGTAAGCGAGTTACAGGGCGTTTTATTGCACGGGCGAATTTACGTGCAAATCTTTCACCGTAGCATCAGTCCTCAGTTCATTTCTTGGAACGAACATCAGCATAGGTGCAAGCCCTCTCGCTTGGGGGGATATGCAAACAAACATCCTGATAGGGGTAAACTCGCATGCTACCGAGCATTCAACCGAGCACATGCATGCTTAGTTGAATGGTGAGATGCGACCCCCCCTTCATTTCGTGCTCGGCAAGCCTGCCACCGCGTACCGGATATGTTGGCGATGTTACAGAACGCTGCACCTTGGTTTCTGTGCGCAATGCATACGTTGCTCGACCCCGCCGACCAAAACTACACGTGCCCAACTGAAGACACACCGGTGGTTGTGCAGCAGCTCTTGAGGCTTTGTTGGCTGAAATCCATCCTGAGACGCTGCACCTCGGTACCTGTGCGCAATGCGTACGCTGCTCGCCCGCGCCGACCAAAACTACATGTTCCCATCTGAAGACAATGCCGGTGGTTCTTAAACAGAATTTGAGCTTGCTGCTGGCTCAAGTCCTTCCGTAGTTGCTGCAACACGGCTAACGCAGGCACGGCCGAATGCGCTGCGAAAAGCTGTTCCAAGCCCTCAGCGGCATCCATTTTACTTGCAAGGTTCTGAACGACTTTCGCGATTCTTCTCTTTACCTAATTCTGCGTTGTTATTATTTATTTCGTAAGAGTGTAACTTGAGTTTAGTGGGAACAATGTGCATTATGCCCTGCGCTACCGAAAGCAGGCGCCTTATGGCTGATTCTTCGCCGACCGCTTCATCTTCCGCGGCAGTTTCACGAGCCCAGAGTTGCAAGCTACGCCGTTGGCTTTAGGTGCTTTTATTTACTGCAAAGCATCCACGCAATAGTCCAGCGTGCGGCTATGGCCAACATGCCCACCTGCGCAACGCGCTGGCGCACCTGGTCCTCACCCGCCAAGAAATTTTACATACATTTGTACAGGCGCATTTTGCGAATCGCACGCGCGCATCTGCGCGGCAAAATTCGTTCCTGACTTCTGGGACGAGATGTACGGAGTCCCTATTCGCGAAGTACGACCGGACACATTTCTGCGAGGGGCTGCTTAATCAGCGGTGCAGACGCAACGCCTTTCGAGTAACCGATAGCACACACATAGCTAAGGAAGTGAGAGGACCATTAAGTCGTTTCGGCGTTGGTGCGTTTGTCCGCTGTGCTGCTGCTGGTCGTCGACCCATGCGGGGAGATGATGCGGGAGAAATGCTGCGCAGTTGAACCGGCCACATCGAATGCCTCAAAATTGCGGAGTCGCTACCGAAAGCGCAGTCTGTTGGGTCCTACTAAGCCTACTAGGCTGTGTTGGCTAATTGTTTATATTATCCAGTCGGAGAGACTTCGTTAACACGGTCGTCCTCGGCTAGGTTGAAGCCTGTTTCCGCCCGCTTTATCCCGACAATGGGCCCCAATAACCGTCTTCATCCGGTGTACCTTAGAACCGGAAGGCCGGGGTGTTCGAGTTCGGCCAACAGCAAAAACTTCAAACATGAAACCGTTATGTCCATGTCGCGTGGCGTATAAACTGACATGGCGCGGATCTGTGCGATCCAAAAACATTCCTGCCAATCGCCAACAAAAACACGCCAAAAACACGTATAATAGGACCACAAAGCCGCAACCTGTCCATCATCACCTGCGCCACAACTTGCAACACATGCCCCCACACTCCAGAGCACCCACGACAGACGGAAGGCATGCAAGAGGAGGAGGACCGAGCTATTGGAAACGAGAAGCGATAAACGGTAAACGAAACTTCCCAGCCACTGTTAAACCGTGCACACAAACTAACCACATAATTAAACCAAAACAAACCATAACATTCATCCGAACCTACTCACCTCCCTACCTCACCTCCCTACCTCACCTACCCCGAACCGGGATACCTGAAGATACGGGCCAGAGGGTGCTTGGGGCTCAACCCCAGGCGGACTGCAACGCCGTCCAGACAGCAGGGGCCAGACCCGGACAGAGCCCTCTCTTTCCGCACCCGCGCCGCATCACATGCCACGTGTAACGTGATGTGTCATGTGTACGATTAACATACCGCACCTGATCACCCCACACTGAAGCCGCGAGAGCCACAAAGCTTGCCTGGCATGATGAGGCGTGACATGACGTGGCATGACGTGACATGACGTATGCCAGTAGCAGTTCATTCCCCATCCCGGCCTTCCCTTCAGCTGTGTTCTTGTTGTTCTCGTGGACGGACCTCATCACCCCTCCTCATCCCTCTCCCCACTCCCACACGCTGCCTCACAGCTCCTCGTTGACCGGCCGGCTACCTCCCTGCCCCGATCCGTCCCAACCGCCCGAGGAGCCTGAGGAGGAGGGAGCACCGCTCGAACCCCTAGACCCCGAACGCACCACACAGGCAGCCGCTGTCACAGCAGCCGCTGCACCCTCGGCCCCACCGAAGTCCAGCCCTCCACGCAGCAGCGCCGCAACACCCGGAACAGAAACCGAATCGACGCCCCGATCGGGATCCAGATTCAAATTCAAATTCAAATCTTGATCCAGGCCCAACCCCAGGTCAAGTCGCTGCACCTCATTGACGTAATAGTACGGGTACGGCGGCTGCGAGGGCCTTTCTAGGCGGCAGAGGTGCCCACCGAACACGTAGGCGGCGCCGCCGACGGCGGCGCCTCGGGTGTCGTACAGCCCGGCGGGGAGGTCCGGCAGCCGTGCCCAGATGATGCGGGTGGCAGCGCAATCCGTAGTGAAGGCCCAGACTGCAGGGGAGCAGGTCAGGCCGGGGGTAGTTGTGGAGCCGCCGGCAATAATGCCAACGTGTACCCGTACAGGCTCATTTACGGCCGCTGCGGGACCTGGGCCTGAGGCTGCAGCTGGGGAAGGGCCTCCCTGGGAGGGCTCTTCGCAGATGACGTCCTCCAGGGCGGTGGAAGGCGCCGACACGACGTCCTCGCTAGCGCCGCCGGCGGAACCTTGGCAGGCCTTCGTACCAGCCGCTGCCGCCACGACGGCGGCACGTACGGCAGATGGTGGCAGCGTGAGGGTGGTTACCATAGAGGCCGAGTAGAAGTGTCCCGGCGGCGATGTCAGCGGTGGTGGTGGTGGTGCTGTGTCTGTGCACTTTTCCGGCGCATGCTGCAGCTTCCTCCAGCGCCGGGTCGCCAGGTCGAAGAACCACGCGTCATCATGCACCGTGTACGAGCCGTTTGGAAGCTGTGACTGGCCGCCGTACATGATGACCCCGGTGGCTAGGCCAGTGAGCCACGGCAGCAAGGCATGGCCGCATCGCGACCCCGGGCCGCCGTGTTCTTTTGGCACCTCCACCGACAATAGCTCCCAACGATTTTCGGCAGGGCTGTACGACCATATGTCCCCACGGCCACGGCCTATGCCGCCGTACAGTACGAGCTTGCCTTGCACGGCAGCTGCACCCGCCATGTGGCGCTTGCCGGGGCCTTCTCCCGCGGGTTGAAGGGGCGACCAGGTGTGGTTGACGAGGTCGAGGCGCCACAAGTCGTCAAAGTCGTTGCCGGGTTTATAGTCCTGAAGATTCGTACGGCTATAACCACCGTCATTGCCGCCGTACAGCAGCAAGGCGTCATCAATCACGGCGGATACGTGTCCGAAGCGGCCGCATGGGGCTCGTGGTTTGCGGCCAGTTGAGTAGGCGTCAAAGGCTTCGGACTGTGAAAGGTGGTCGGAAAGGCGCTGCCAGGCGTAAAAGCCGTCGGCAGCACCCATCGCCCATGTGTCGCTAAGCCAAGTCGCATAGGAGCGCTGGCTGTTATAGTAATAGCCGTGCGTGGTCAGCAGCTTGCCTTTGTAGGAGTGACACGTATGGGAATAGCGAATAGAAGGGTGGGAGGGAGTTCCGGCTGCTTCCGGCGTTTGCGGATGCACTGTTTGCCACCCAACCGCCGCATCTGCAATTACATGCAGTAATGTTATCCACCCTGCAATATTCGCAATTCTAATAAATGCTGTCAGGTCCTTCATAATCGCTTTGCAATTGCTTTTACTGTCGGAACGAAATACGTTACACTTATGCTTCGTCATCAACCATACCAGTGAGTAACCGGAATTGTCTATGTCATCGTTAGCTTATGGCTAATCCCACGCAAGCTGACTTGAAGCTGTCCTGAAAACTATCGCGAAACGGCTTGAAGCTAAGTTCGCCTGTACAATCTGTCCTTCATTTAAAAGGCTAACAGCGGGATATAATAACGGCTGCAAAACTGCTAGTCAGGAGGACGGTTCGTACCGGTACGAGCTGTTGGAAGTTTTCCTCAAAGGGATCACTCAGCCGTCGTAACCACAGGCTCATGCATAAGACTGTTGTGGACATAATGCTTTTACCCTCGCGGCTTCGTTGGCGGAATTTCGTGAGGTTCCCCAACTGCAGGCCTCATGTCCATGGACAACACGACATCCTCATACCTGTGTCGTTGCAGCACGCTCATCAGCAAATAATTATGCCACGCTGCTATAGTGAACATTACCATACGGGCGTACCGTCAGGACGTGCCAGGATACGGTACAGGGCTGAAGTGCGGACGCCAAGATAAGGTTCGTGTGGCCTTTGCAACGTATGTGCCACGTCTCGACCTGAGGCTACCCTTTATTTCAACTCCAACATGTCTGGGCCTGTTATGTCCGGAAACAAGGCAGGGACAGATGGCGGCACGAGGACAATGCGGGACGTTCTTGCATGATTAGCTATAAGCCAAGAGGAACTAGGCTGGCCACTGACGCCGAATTCCAGATATTCAGGACAGAGAGAAGGAAAGCGGTCAAGCTTGTTGAATGTAAACGGGGTTATCTCTTGAGAGCGAAAAAGCTGCACAGTCCACATTGCGTTGTCTATATAACAATGTGTCTGTCGACAAAGAAGCAAGCAGTAGAGTACAGCGCGCTGCTCGACTAGACTGAGCTGCCGTCTGCCGACGAGGCTGAGCAGTACTGGCGATGGCATGTAGGCACAATACAAGAAACACCGAAGGAAGGTCAAGTTCGGCGGGAGCAAGCGCCATGCGCCCGTATACTGCTACAACACCTAGTGCAACAACCGCAGTGACGATTGGTTGTAGCTCGGCAACAGGTGCAGCGTCATACGGTTAAGAGAAGCAGGACAAACTGCTGGCGCAGCTTATACACGTATGATTCACGTATGATAAATCCGCCCCAAATACTCTTAGCTCGCAGATTGCACGAAACCCCAGGGCCTAATCCTTAGGGCCTAACCTTACACATCAGCCCTAACCAAAGCCGTAGGAGTCGGTGTGGGAACCTTGCTGGAACTTCAGACCACCAATCCTCCACTATGGCCAGCAGCCACAACCAGAGATGCACCTGGTCCACACACACGCCGCCGCTCCACTGCCCATGGTGAATGGGCAGCGCAACACATGGCTTTCGATGCCAGTATTAAACAGCAGTTGTAAGAGCGGCAATAACACACTCTGCCGCCGATCGTGCATTTTCCAGACTACCACCAGCCAGAGATTATTCCTGACGCATCCTTGACGCGGGGCCAATCTGGTCTGCGTCGTCGCTGTCATGAGCTGTGAAGAACTACAGTTCAGCTGCGAGCCTGCCTTCACGCACGGGCGAACAGGGATGGCTGGCAGTTGCGCATGCATGACGTGCGGGGTGGTCATGCTATTTGTGGAAGATCGCTATTTAGCCATGGTGGTTTGGACGCACCACAAACTCCACAACGTTTGGCAAGCACGGCATCACTGAAACCCCGAACCACCGGCAGGTGATGTGGATTGATGGGATTCATGCAACGTTGTAGCTCCACTTGCAAGCACTCGTCTGGCTCCCTGAACAATCTGCGCCGTCATCCATCCTTACACGCTGCCATTACACGCTGTCGGTTTTGACCCATGGTAAACCTATCTGCTGCGGATGTTCTGACTGTTTCCGCTCTTGCAAAGCGCATCAGAAACGGCTATAAGACCGACCCATGGGTCTACACATGTGTGTGGTTGTCACAGTGGGTTCCAGACTCACGAAGAGTAGAGCCAGCGGGCCGTGCACTGCACTTGAAACGAACATGACAAACTAGACTCCAACCCAAATGAGACAACGCAAGTCATATAGACAGCCAAAAGCGCCAGGCTCAGAACCCATAATCATTACTAAATGAGGCCTGAGACCCAAAAGTCCTCCAATTAAAAGAATTCAAAATAAAAAAGCAAAAATAGGTAATAGTTAATCGTTCATCGGCGACCGCTCCCGTGAACATAACAACTATGCCTGACACAATTCGCAAGAAGGGGTGATATGCCCCAACAGAATCCCATCCTTTCCGTGGAACGCCCTGCGCTGCGAAACCCCGAAGGCGGCCCCAAAAGTCAACAACAACTCTGCTGACGGTGGTCGACGTTAAAGAGATGTCCCTTGCAATGACTTGCTCCGTAGTCGTGGTGTCATTGATGGTAGTACTGGTGTCCGTGTTCCGTTCTCCCGCATGCGGGATGAGGGCCGCTATCGAGCCACGCGGGTAGTACTTCCCTGCTTGAGTTGCTGCGTCGAAAAGCTATCGGAACTTCTTGTGGCCAGGAATGTACGGGGCACCAGATGCGATACTTTGTCCGGTAGCAAGTTCAGAGGAGCGCTCAGCTCTCCAGGGTTTGCCGCTTGCAGCCCTGCCCTGCCCGCCATTCGTCGCCATTCTGCTCGCCATCCGAGAACGGAGGGCCCGACCGACAGCGCGCAGGAAGCGTACTCTGAGGGATACAATTCCTCCCTATGCTGGAAACAAGCCTCGAGTTTGTTGCACCTACCTCCGGGCTGCAACTATTACGACAACACGACAACATAAGTTTACCACACATTCTTAGTCCACAAAAACATTTGCTAGATCCCAGGACGGACGAAACAAAATTATTTTTTCTGTTGGGTATCGGGCTCCACCAATGTACTGGAAGTTAATGTGCCTGTCCCGGCTGCCAAGTTCCTATCCAGCCGTATTGCGCGTACCGCAGAGGCGAAGTGATGTCTTGGCAAGGCTCAATACCGTACGGAGAAAAACACGACAGACAGGTGCAAGCTGCGTGCATTCAGTATGAAATCCTACGGCAGTTGGCTTTTGGGCCTCGTTCGCTGTTGCTGCGTAGGGTCCTGTGGGGCGCATGGCCAGGAACGCAGCGATATTTGCATTCATCCTTCAGTCCTGACGCTGATGCGGGCCCCCTAACAGTGCACCCGCTTTTACCTGGCAGTCCCTCTCCGCATCTCCAAACCTTCAGGGCCGCCGCCGCTTGAGTGTTTGAGGAGCGAATCTCTCTTTGCGCCGTCGAGCGGTTACACAGCGTACCGCGACGCAGCACATTATTGGTGCGCGAGGTCCTGGATAAATGGACTACCGAGTGCACCGATGAACATAAAATAGCTGGAGCTACGCCCGACCCCGGCTCGTCCTTCACCGCGAGCTTCAAGTATTTCGTTGCGCCTGAAATCCAGTGATACCGCAAGCAACTGACGTGACCAGGCAGTACACGTCAGTACACCGGCACGCACACGCATCCTGGGTGTAGCCTCCACGTCACTGTTTCACGTGTGCTGTTTGTGTCGCACGATGTTGCTTTGCCCCGTCGTTGAATAATCGTCGCCATCAATCGTCGTAAGTCTTCTGTACAAGCACTTGCTATGAGCCTCCGGGTTGTTTTGTGCCAGAGAGCTTTTGTGCCAAGAGCGGCCCCGCTTACGATACGTAGGTTTTGGTTTGCTGGTTGCCTTCCCAGGCCGGCCCCAGGAGATCCTCCCGCTGTGACGCAAAGCCCCCTTGTGCGCACACTCGAGCACATCAAGGGACGCATTTGGCCTTTCCAGCTGTGCGGCGTCCGAAAATAGCCAACAAGGCAAGGGCGGATGGAGGGTTATTACTGTTACGGAGCGCACCTTTTGGGGCGGCGCCTCGATTACTCCCTTACGTGTCAGTTGCATGCACTTTAACCCAAGCGGCCGGAGTCCGGTTTCAATTCCCGCATTTAAAGTTTGAAGTGGAAATTTTTCCATCCTGTTCATCTTCATCTTCGTGAACATTAAAGATTTACGTACTATGGCGCGTTGCCGTCTTTGGCGGACGCCCATGCGTGGCAGCTGGATAGTTGCATTTGGTTATAAACATAGTTTTTCCTGGGGATTGCCGATCTCCTTGGTAGGGTTCAAATGCCTCAATTTTGCATACGTTCCCTGCCAAGTTGTTGAGTCAGGGCCATTCAGCCCCTAAGTTGTAAGCCGTCTTCATCATTTCAGCTTTAAAATCGGTTTTTAACGGGAAAGATTTACTTACTAAAAACAGTTGACAGATAAATAGGATCTGCTACCGACTATCCGGCTAATTATACGGCCATGATCAGTCATGACTTATGAGATCAAGTCTCTTAACGGTGCATGCAGCTGCCTTGTTACATGCGCGCTGTATGTTAACTCCCTCCGCGGAGACGATCCTTTCCGATGCTTTTATGGTGGCGCGGGAGGGCTGTCATCGCATGGACGGCCTGCATTCTGGCATACTTTGGAGTGAAGTAAATCTTTAAAGCGCAAACTATTTGTGGTAGCGTGGATCGCCTCGTTCTACTTTACAAGTTAAATCATCTATGCCGGAATGCGGCATTATGGGGGTGAACTGCATTGAGTAAGGCTTTGCGTTTAACAAATATGCCTGATTTATTTTTTGTCATATTAAGAGCTTTGCAGTACGGTTAAGGGTGAAAGGACTTCTTGCAAGAAGACCTATAGACGCAACCACTTCCATATTTCCGGCAAGATAGGTCGGAGTTGCCTTCGGACTTATAGGAACAAATGCGGTTGTATTGTGTGCAGTTCCGATTAGCTAGGTTGCTTCATGAATGAGATGGATCGGTACGGTAGTCGTTCCGCGGAGCACAAGTGCACATAGCTGTGTGCAAGCAGCCATTTTGCAGGTTGTGATTTAACGTGTTTCGATCTCTTTGGGTCGGACACCATTTTTAGGTCAACTGTCGTCCGTATTTTCCCTGAAAAGGAGGTTACAAAAAGGACGAACTAAAAGAGCACGCAATAAGACCACCAGGCAAGGGCAGGCATTGTAGCAAGCTGGAGCAATTAACAGGAAAAAGACCGGCCCATGAGAAAGCGTCAAGGTACGCTTTTAGATGTACAAGAACGTATGCGACCCTCATTTTAGAGGTGGAAGTGAGTGATTTTAGTTCTCAGAGGGTTTTCAGTCAAGAACGTTTCCTTCTTCAACACCCCTCACCAGTCAAAACCGTAGCTATAGCACCGTCCACCGTTTCCTCGGAGGCACTACCTGGCTAGGGGACTGACCACCGTGTTTTGCAGATCTTATTAAGCAGGTACCCCGGCTAATAGCAGCGTAATCAGCTACATAATGAACAAGGTTGTGTAGCCGGAGTCCGAGCTGCATGACCTGCGCCAAATCTTTTTCGAGGTTGCGTACACCCTTGCTATTGAAGTCACGCTATAAATTATATATAGCAGTAACCCATGATTAAGACATGAAGGGAAACGTTGTGCACGGCGTCGACGTATTAGGCCGTCGTTCCCTGTACGGTGCGTCAGTGCTTCTGCACGCGATGCCAAAGGACGCAAAAAATGATGTCTTTCCATTCATTTACCTTTTAGATATTGAAGCGTAGTTTTCAAACTGTTGCAGGGTGTCCCCAAAGTTACTGTGATGGCCGCTACACGCGGCGCCCGACATACCGCGGCACAGGCGGAGTCCTCAGGACTGTTTAATTTTTTCTCAGGTGAAGGTTATGAGGATAACGCCGACTCGAGCACCATACCAAGGCTGACACAGTTGGCCGCGCTTCCCAGCGCTCATGACGACAAGGACGAAATGGAACATGGACAAGCAGCCGATAAGAGCAGCAACTTTTACTATGGTAGCACCGATTTCTTGCTGCAGCGCCCACCTGACACTCCAGCAATTACAAGTGGACTTGGCGCAGCTGGACTGGATGGTCCTTCAGGCTGGGCCAGTGGGAGCACTCCCAGCGATAGACGATTCTTACGGTCATTCACGACCGGGTCAGCTGCGCTGGAACCTGACGCCCGAGCCGGCTTCTTCTCCCTGGGCGTCCGCTCTCCATCATATCACTTCTGCGAGGCTAACCTAGATCAGCATTACGTCCAACCTCTCCTTCAGCCCCAAATTCATATGCAGAAAACAACAGAATCCGCTTGGCCATCGCAGCGCCATTCCGATCCGCCCGCCACACAGCTGCGCGCGCCCTTCACGTCCGCCGGATTCTGCAACAACGGCGCCGAGGATGCCGCAGCAGCCGCAGCATCCTTGTCAGCGCAGGGCCCACCCCCAGCCCACTCGGAAGCCCTCTTACCGTCCTCTTCGCACCACGTCGCCGGAATCGCCGTCTCCCTCGCAACTGGCTTGGAGTCCAGCGCCGGCTCCGCGGGCTCCACCTCAGCCACCCTCCCGGTCTCCGATTCCGCGGGGCCCACTGACGCAGCCTGCGCCTTCCCATCTGGGTCACGGGGACTGCCAGTCGGCCCCGCCTCGGCCGCTGCTGCCTACCCCATGAGCTGCCCTCAGGGCAACCGACATGCGTACCTGCCGCCGCCGCAACCGCCGCCACAATACGCCGAGGTGCACGCAGCGGCAGTCCGCGGCGGGGCCCTCGTAACCGCTGGACCCCATGGGGCCGCTGGCGCCGTTGTAGGTCGGCAACCTTCTGGAGGTCCGGGGCCCTCCGCTGGTAACCTCTCAGGCCCCGGTGCGTGGCCACGTGCGGGTGCGGCTCAAAACCCTCAACGGGGGGGACCCGAGGCTGGCCTGGCTAGGCTTCCGTCCGCAGGGTATTATGACACTGCGGCGCCGGGTGTTATGCGGCAGTTCAATGTGGAATATGGTGAGGCAGCGGCACCGCTAGCGGGCAGCGGTGCTTTGCCAGCCATGGACATGCTGTCGGTCGGACCCAGTGGCGGCAGCCTTCAAGAGCCCGGGGGCGTCGCCGCTGCGGCGGGTCTGGCGGCAGCGCCGTCGCTGGCATCTGCACAACAACAACAGCAACAACAGCAGCAACAACAACAACAACAACAACAACAACAGCCGGGCTCGATGGCGGCTGGACCTCCCGCAGGTTGCGGCGCTGGCTCTCCCATCCACACAACAGCAATTCAACCCCAACTCCAATCCCAACCCCACGCAAATCCACATGCAGACGGAAACATCGCCAGGACAGAGGCCAACGGCGGCGGCGCCATGGCGGCGGATGGCCGGGTGTCGTACTTGCCGCCGCAACAGCACATAGGCATGCCATGGTTATCGCCGTCAAAGGCAAGCTACAAAAACGGTGCTACAGCCGCAACTACCGCCGACCTGCCAGGCACGCCATCACCTAGCTCGGCATTGTCGCCGTCATCGTGTAGCAGCGGCCCGCCAGGGCCGTCCTTGGAGCCTGCCGCCATGCCCTCAAGTCCGTACATGCCGTACCATCCGCTTTTGCCACCGCCCCACCTCCGGCATAGCCATCACCCGCACCATTATCAGCACCGCATGCACATGTCCAAGCGCTACGCCTGGACGGATGCGTACGGAAGGTACGATCCAGGGTACGCCCCTCCGTACTGGCCTTCGCCGTACTACCACGCCATACCAGTTTGTCGGACGGCTGCGTGGCATCCCAACGTGGCGCCGCCAGGGGTTCCTGGGCCCATGGGGGCCCCGCATGCGGGCTCACGCCTGCCTGTAGATCCCGGGGGCGGCGGTGGCGGGTCCGTTAGCACGGCCGGAGGCGGTGGCGGAGGCGCCATCCAGCGTATGAGCGCTCCAGGTATGCGGCCGACGGCGCCTCCCGGCATGCCGATGCCGCCTCCCGAAAAGCAACCGCCCTCGCAGCTGCAGCCGCCGGACGGTACGGCTCCCGCCACGCCAGTGGTTGCTCCGGCCGCCATGTACGATGCACGGGGTGGCCATCGCCCCAACAGCGTTCTGTACGGCAGGCCAGTGCAGATGCCGTTCCCCAATCCGCCTGTACCGTACCCTGTCGGCATGCGCGGTGGAGCGCCGCTGCCTCCGCCCCCGCCTGGCGGAGCACGCTTTGTTCGATCAGCCTCGTTGGACAGCCTGGGCCTTCTGCCGGCACCGGCAGCGATGTCCATGCCCATGCCCATGCCAGGGTCCGCACTCGACCTCCATCACCCTCACCCTCACCACCACCACCAGCAGCACCAGCAGCCGCGAGGGATGTCGGAGGAGTTGTCGGTGCTGGATCCATCTGTGGTGGATCTAGGTCCTCCGTCGCCATCGCCGCCGATGCTGGAGAGCCGGGATTCGGTCAAGCGGCGGCGGCTGACGGCGTCGTGGTCCGTACCGGGACCTCTCATGTCGATCCCCTCGGCGCCGCCTGGTCTGACGCAGCCGACGCAGCCCTCACCGCAGCAGATACAGCAGCAGCTGTCGCTACCAAACGGCCATGCGCTGCTGGACCGGGTCCGCGGGGAATCGGCCCCGGCCAATGGAGCGGCTGCTATGCCTCCGTCACCGTTTCCGTTCGCGACGCCGTCAGTGCAGCCGGCAGCGGTGGCGACGCAGCTGTCAGCTCATGGCCTGGAGCCCGGCAACGGCTTTGGACAAGGGCCTGGGACTATGGGCTCAAACCTGCACCCACCGCCGGCCGCAAGGACGGCAGCGGCGCCGGCGGGGAGTTCCACGTCAGCACAAGCCGTACATGCTCATTTGCGTACGGCCGCTACGGGCACCAGCAACGGCATGGGAGCGTCGGACGGCGCCGTCGGGGCGGCAGGCCTGGGGCCGGCAACAGCAATGTCGGTATCGGCGTCGACATCGGCGTACCACGCTGGCAGCAGTTTCGCTGAGGCGGCGGCGGTGGCGGCGGCTGCGATGGGCTGTGGCGGGGTGGGGATGGCCGGCGATGCCGCTGGTTTCAGCTCCGGAGCCATGGAGGACGACCATGTGAATGCGGCCGATCTAGAGGATTCGTTTGAAGCGTTCGCCATCAAACTGGGCTTTGATGACCTCGATGTATGTATGTCAGCTGAGGGTGAAGAGCCACCTAACCAACCGCCACACATACCGCAGCAGGCGGCGGCAACATCTGCCGCAGCTGTGGCTCCACCGCCGCCGCTGCACGAGACGCCGCCTGTCGTACAGGACCCCCCGGTCGCGGCTGCCATGTCGGAGCCAGCGCTGCAGTCGTGCTCGGACGGGGTTTACGCTACAGCCGCCGGCGTGCCTTTCCAGGGTACCCTGGAGGGGGGGCCAGCTGCAAGTTCCGCGTCCCATGGAGGGTCGGCGGCAGCGGCATCACCGCAACGGCATCAGCTGAACAGTACGACATGGCCGTCTTCAGATGTGGGGTCCCTGGGACAAGGCCAGGGCCTGCAGCACCATCACCCGCAGCTACCGCCCAGCACAGCCGAAGGAATACAAGAGCTGAGCACATCACCACAGCCAGGCCCCCTGCAGTCGTCTTTGCCGCCTACACAGCAGCAGCAGCAGCAGCAGATGCAAGGGCACGAGTCCCAAGAACAGCAGCAGCAGCAGCCTTCGGGCACATTGATGAAGGCCGAACAGGGCGTTGTCAAGTCCGAGCCGCTGCTACTGCCGCCCGCGGCGCTGCTGCTGCCGGCACCGCTACTGCCCACCTCCATGGTACTGCCGCCGGCGTTGGCCCCCAGCGGCTCCCCGCCGGCACGCACGCGTGTAGCTGCGCCGCGTCGGCTCAACGGCAATAGCAGCCGTACGATGAGATCTCAGTACCAGCTGCTGCAGTTGGGTAACTTGGATCAGCTTCCGGGCCCCGTAAGGGTCACAGTCGCAGGGGGCGGGTCCGCAAGATCCGCGGGCGAGTCTGGGTTCCGTCGCGGCGGCGGCCGCGGTGCACGCCGCGGCAGTGACGGCGGCGCCAGTGATGACGACGATGACGACGGCGGCGGCAGCGGAGGCGGAGGCGGCGGCCGCGGATTTTCAACGCAGGGCGCAGGGGCCAAGGGCGGCGGTTCAAGCGGCGGCAGCGTGCAGGGTATCTTCCATGTGAAGCCGTATTTGGAAGGCCGCAAGTGTATCGACCATGGCGGTGAGATGGTGAGCCGCAGCGCCTTCGAGCGCGCAGGCGGCAGCATGATGGCCAAGTGGTACCGGAGCATCAAGGTGAGGCGGAGGGGGGAGCTCGGGATGTGGGTGTGAGGAGGCGTGAGGGAGGGAGGGCGGGAGGGAAGGGTCCATCTGATTTTGACACGCAGTGGGTTCGTGCTGCTACACGCACATCGCGCTTTGCCTGCATCTTGCAAATACGCAGAGCGCGGTGGTAACCACCGGCAAGCGCCGTAACGGGACCCAGCGGGGCCTCCCAGTGTTGAGTTGTGGTGCGTATGGCTGTGCGGACCCAGCGGGGCCTCCCAGTGTTGAGTTGTGGTGCGTATGGCTGTGCGGACCCAGCGGGGCCTCCCAGTGTTGAGTTGTGGTGCGTATGGCTGTGCGGAGAAGAGAAGATATTCCCCTCCCCTCGGATGGTCGTTAATTGACTGCTCCTTGACTTGTGATGTCCGGGAGGCAGACGGCGGAGAGAGGCAATTGCACGGTCGGCGGCGGGAGGGAGCTACCTGCAGCTGACCGGTCGTTTTTTGGTGGTCCTGAAGCTGCAACCTTTTGTATATATGCCCATTTGTAATGCCCTTTTGACCGTTCCAAAGCTCTTTTTAATGATCTAGTGCCCTCAGGCCCCTGTGGTTGAGGGCGGTTGTTACCGTTGAGAGTCGGTTGAAAGCCTCGCTCCCGCGCTCCCGCGCTCAGCTCAGCTCAGGGGGGTGCATTCGTCCTATTCTGTTTTTGTCCTATCCTGCTGTATCTGTTGTGCCAGAACCTTCTAGATGCAACCCAATTAAGAATATCCCGCTGCCACAGGTCCTTCCGGAAGGCGTTTCGCTGGGGAAGTGGCTGGTCAGCAACGGCCTACCGGTGCTCAAGGTACGGCCATATACCTATCTGGCCCTGTGAGCTGTACAAGTCCGCAGTAGTAGTAATAGTAGTCATGTTACAGGGTCCCAGAATTCGTCTACTTTTGGAAAGTGAAATTTGTAAACATTTTCGTGTGTGTAGGGCTTCGTGTGGGTTGCTTTGAACTGAACTCAGTAGTCATGCCACTGCGGTGACTGCTAGAAGATGCAGTCTTTTCTTAGCTATACTTACGGAAGCTGACATCCTACTTATCTGGCCCTAATCCCTAAGGCTAGAAAAGACTTCGGCTGGAAAAAAGATTTCAGTTATATTCCGGAACTGCTGACCAAAATTGCAGGCGGTCAACGCTATTTATTTATAATGCATGTCAGAATGTACGTGTCTTCCGCTCTGTAGGGCTTCAAGGACCGGTACTTTTCTCCATTGCGGCTCTGAAATCATTCATTTTTAGAAGAGGAGAATTAGTTCAATTCCTTGATTGCGGCAAACGGCACGTGTTTTTATCATTCCCCAAAATGATGTCCCCATTAAAAGAATTGCCGCCGCAGCAAGCATGTCCCCGCGTTGGGCTTCGGGGTGTGTGTGGCACCTCTTCCTTTGGCCGCAGTGTTGGGCTCCTAACGCTGTGTCGTGCACTCTGCCCCGAGTGGACACTTCAACTTTTTGACCTTCACTTCCGGGCAAATCCTTTTCCATGCCTCCAGGGTAACCCCCGGCGTAGTAAAAAAAGCGGCGGCGGCTCACTTGCGGATCCGGAGGCGGCTTAAGCCAGCAGGGGAGAGTGCCCCCCAGGGGGGGGGGGTCCGGAAAAGAGGACAAGCAAGGAGATGAAGCGGTAGATAGGTAGACAGGTAGATGGAGGGGGGGACAGGGAAGAGGGTTGTTACGTTGCAAAAGCGCTCTGCTGCAGCCAAGGCGCCGACCTTTTTTGGATGCGGGACGGTGCGGTGCGGTGCGGTGCGATGCCTGCACTACCTCTTCTTCCGCATAAAAGTAATTGCGACGATGTCCAGGACGAGGTGATAAGCGTGCCCAAGTGCGGGTACGGGAATGGGACTGTCTCCTCCTGCGCAAACAGTCTGAGCAGGCTGAGGGATTATGTATAAGGCCCTAGCTGGGATTGGGCCCAGCTGCTACCTGGTTTGGGGCGGGGAGGTCGCACTCCTTGAGGCCTTACTTGGGCCGTACGCAGTATGTGAAGGTGTCGGGTGTTTTTTGGGCATGGCAGGACGGAGAGAGGCAGGGCTAGCGGGCCGCCGTGCGTTTGTTTGCGGCAGCGGAAGGGAATGAGGCCCATGCTGTCCGTCTTGGCGGTCGACACGCCACGTGGTCTGACACCGGGACACGGCGGGCGGGAGGTGCTATCGCGGTAGCTGCTGCAGCTGGTTCTCCAATGCAGTTGAAGGTGCATGACGGAAGAGGCAAAAAATGATAAGGCCCCGCGAGGGACGTGGCTCGTTGCCGTAGGGCCCAGGGGGCATGCATGCATGATCCTAGCGCATCAGTAATGCAGCGGTAGTCCGGCGGCTCTTAGGCGTGCGAGGTCTGCAATGCAGGTGTTGTGCTAACACACGAGAGAGTGAGAGAGAGAGAGAGGGGGGGGTCTGGACGGGACAGGCCCGGGGTACGCGCGCTGGGGGGATTACTGGACGGAGGGACATGGTAGTAAGTATAATGTGCGAGGAACACATACGCGCAGTTTTGGCTGCAGGCAATGCTCCGTCCTAGTAGTATACACGTACTTGTACATGCGCGCGTGAATATCTGAGATGTTATGGGTGCTGGTTATTGTGAGATGAGGCCCCCGGATGGGAATCACGGCGTAAGTATGACCAGACGGGGGCGGGCCATGAGCGGGGGGGCGTGATAGGGTGTGATTTTGTTGGTCCACACCACCTAGGGGGGTTACTTCCCGGCAACCCGTGCGGGTCGCGGCACGTATGGGACCTCTGCAGGCTTTTGCAAGTCAGTGCCGGTGCTGCCGTTGTCGCTCCTGCTGCTGCTGCTTCCGCTGCTGCTGCTGCTGCTGTCGCTGCTGCTGCTGCTGTCGCTATTACGCCAGTACTAATGCTACACTATTAATGCTTTTGCTGCTGCTCCCGCTGCTGCTGCTGCTGCTGGCGCTTTGAATTTCTTTTCTGCAAGAAGGATTTATGAATCTCCATGTGCCGCTTGGGCAAATGTCGCATGCCAGTAATTTTCTTGAACCATACCGTATCGTATACGGCAATGCACCGTACATCATGCCGTGCTGAAATGCATGCATAGCTGTTTGCTTATGTGATGTCCTGCTGAGGAACGCTTCTTACCTGGCTTTGCGTCGGGGGCTTCTGGCCAAGGACATATAGATTGCATCGTTACGGTCTTCCTCGGAGGGGTTTCTTTTCCGTTCTCCGTCCCGTTTGGTGGAAGCTTGTTTTTCGCAATCGGCAGGGTTCTTTTACCGCTCCTGTCGTTTGTATGCCCAAGTGTCGCAGGTGTCTTGAGATATTGCTACTGCATGTTTTATAACGCGCGGGATGGTAGAGCCTCGAAGCTGCCTGCTGAAGATGTGTAGCCGTGCCGTCCCGGAATCCGTGTTGTTGGTCGGTTTTGTTGGTAAGCGACTGGATGGGTTGAAGACGTACGCCATGCACGCATATGATGATGCCATAGGTGAGCTTGGAACGTGTGAGTTTTCTTCTCCTTTATACCTTTGTACATTTCAGCCGTGAGATAAAAAGGGAAGAGAGAGGCCTGAATACGCATTGAAGTCGCTCGCGGCGGCAACGGCAAAATTAGAACGGAAGGAAGCGGCGAAGCGACCATGTTGCGACCTCTTCGCGGGGAAGGGAACACAGGTATCCGCCCCGGCCCTGTTCCCCGGTGGGTGAGAAGGTGTGGTGGAGGAGCTGTTGTTCGTTGGAGCTCCGGGTGGATGCGGACGGGTGACGGGAGAGGCGTCGTGTGGCGAGGCGCGGAGTACGTAAAACAGCGGCGGGTGAGAATCACGCAGGTGGTGGTGCTGCAAGGACATTGGAATAGTGCTAGTGCCAGTGAACGTATGTAGGGACTGCAGGCAGTGCGTTGCCGGAGAGTTCAACAACGATAACTTCCTCTTTACGGCATCATCTGTCCCGTTTCGGTTTGTCGAGCCGAGGAGATGGCTGTATGCTGGCTGGTAACGTGATGGCTCTATCTAACGTTTCTACTATTAGCAATAATAGCCGCAGCTCGCGGAGGTGATGGTGGTGGTGTGTGCCGCACCTAATCCCCTAGATAGCCACGGCGGGCCGCGTGGCCACAGGGGCCACCCTAGGCTGTCTGTCGCTCGGAGCCGTGCCAACAGGCATAGTAAAACTGTGAATTTCGCGACCCCCGAATGAACTGCATGGTGGGATGTACGTGCGTGTGTGCGTGTGTGCGTTTGCCTGCTTATGAAGCGCCGATAGGTGGCATTGCGTCGGACCTCCTTGCCCCTCCTTCTGATAGTGCTTGCAATGGGGGTGGGGCTGGCGGATCGAGGTTGGGGATGGGGTTAACCTGCGGGGAGTGCTAAGGAATTGATACGTGTTACGAATGAAGGAGGAGAGGGCACTGTGCTGTAGGTGGGCGGGAGGGGGACGGTCCACGTTCCTCACGTCTTTGTAGTGCCGCCCTGCTGAGAGCCGCCGGGGCCCCCCGGGGTGTGTGTGTGTTTGTTTGTGTGCGCTCTCGTTCGTTTTTTTGCCCTTTTGGTAATGTTGGCGCTAGCTTAACTTCAGTACTTGTACGCGTCCGTACTTTGAGGCGAACCTCTTTGCGTTTTCTTCGAGCCCGAGGTCCGAAGCGGCCTCAGTACCTGCGCAATAATATCTCCTGTCCCCAAGATGATGATGATGATGATGATGATGATCTTCAGTTTGTGGCGCTTAGGGTTCGAAAACAACTGCAGGGGCCCGCAACTGTGCATGCACGTATATAAGTACACCTGTCTAAGCACTATACGTGATGAAAGAGTATCTCTTTTCTGAAGGTCCTATGTGTTCTACTGGATACCTGCCGGGGGCCCTTCCCTGGGAACCACACGACCAGGCCAGCCGGCCATGAGTGAGTGAGTGAGTGAGTGAGTGCGAGGGTGCGCCTTAAGAGGCTGCAAAGCCGCTGGTTAAAGGTAGCGCTCAAGGCGTGGATCCCGACGTAGCACTTCTTCCTCTGCCTTCCTCTCCCTCTCCCCGGCTAGCAGCGTGTGGCGGGGCTCTCAATGAGGGCGCGTGGATGCCGCCTGTGGTGGGGCCGCCTGTGGTGGGGCCGCCTGTGGTGGGGCCGCCTGTGGTGGGGCCGCCTGTGGTGGGGCCGCCTGCTGACCTCTATTGGCCTGGCGCCCCCCGCATGCGATACATGTCCCCTTTCCTTGCCTGAATGCTCGTTATTCGGGGCCCTGTGCCTTCAGGGCCTCTCAAACTGCTGTCCGTGAGGTGGTAGTGTTACCCACGCTGGTTACCCACGCAGAAACCTGGGGGCTGCGGGCGTCGCGGTAAAATTGAATAAGTCGCTGTTGAACTAGGAAAGGGCGATGTCTGCCTGACGGGATGCCTGCGCTGTTTTGGGTGTTGTGTCAATCGACAGGGGTGCAGGTGCCATCATGCGCAGACAGTGCTTGCATGTGTGTGTGGGGGGCGTGTCAGTGCCGCGTGCCCGGCAGCCCGGCGATCTACGCGGTGTGTAGCTGCTGGGCTTTGAAGGAGTGCGGGTGCACTGCTGAGCGGGTGTAGTGCGGGGAACAGGTTGATCTTTACAACCGGGGGTTGCCGTGAATTTGAGCGGATGTGAATGAAGCAGCCCGAGGGGACACGTGCGGCCCTGGGCTGTTCGTCCGAATTGTATTTTGTCTGATCAAACAGCCATGATGCATGGCGCGAACGGCGGTGCAGGGCATAGCAGCAAGGCACCTATCCTGCATTGTGCGCCTGTCCTGCTGCACGTCGATATGATTGTGTGAAGTAGGGGGGAAAGTGTACCTTCACCCGCGTGTGGCCACTAGCCTGGCAGTCCCTCTTACCACGTTCCCCAGTGCTATGTTTCGCGGTAACCTCATTCTTCTCATCCCCCATGTGTGGGAGCCGAATTCTGCGGAGTCAGTGAACTTTTTTGGGTTCAGCACCCCCACCACACCACCACCATCACCATCACCACCGGTATCCAGTGGAATCGGCTCCCCCCCGCCGGATCACCGTCGTGGACAGACAGTTTCACTCTCCCCCGGTCGGTCGGCTCGCAGGTCTCTCTCATTCGCTATGACCAGGAGGGTCCGTCACCGTTTCCGTCGGCGTGTGTGTGTGCGGGGGGGGGGGGGTTGCCTAGGGGTGCATCCACCCTCCTATGGTCGAGGAGGGATTGCTATTCCGCTCCTTAGTTGGGATCAAAACTGGAATTTACCCGGAACATTATGCCGCGCCTATCTTGCTACGCATATCTGTCGTCAACCGGAACTCTGTTTTGCACACACCCCTTTGCTGCGCCTGCGCGCTCCCCCCCCTCAGTCAGGCTGTTTCCGGGCGGCGTTGTGTTTCGTTCCAGGGCCTATACGTACATACATACTTACACTCGCACACACCGTTAGCACGTGTGCGTTTCTTCAGCTTGCAAGCGCTGAAGCTCATTATGGTTATCGCAATGATGAACCAGCGGATTTATTTGCTTCGCGGGCGGGATCCGAGGGCCCTCCTTTTGAGGAAAACTTTCTGTTCTGCATGTGTATATGTACGCTTGCATTTTATGTATGTATGTATGCATCGCGCATGAGGCGCCCGAATGCCTGCACGGCGGCATGTCTGTGTACGGCAGGGGTGCACGGCAGGTGGCCAGGGTTGATCACATGGGGTGATAGGTCTGGTGTTCGAGCCGTACGTGACTTCTGGGCAGCGTTAGCGGGATGCACGTCGTTGTGACATGCACCCTGGGTTGGCTCTGGGTGGTGCGAGAGGCGTGAGTATCTGCGTATGTGTATACGAGCACGTGCCTTTGTACGGCACAGTACTGCAACCGGTCGAATCCTTAAATGGCCCTTTATTCTGATGTGATATAGGTGGAGGGAAACATATTGTCCTACTGTGAGTAGCATGTGTAGTAATCGAGCCCGATGGACACGGATGTATGATCAGGGGCGCAAAGGCCAGCAGCAAGTACGACAGGTACTGCAGACGGTGCGATGCAGAAGTGACGAAGTGCGGACTCTTTTTCCTCATGGCCCCTTATCTGTGTGTGTGTGTGTGTTTGCGTGCTGAGGATGCGTTGTCTTTGTATACCGTACTACTGCTCATCGGCCTTTGCCAGCCAGACTCCTTGGAAGCTCATTCCGTCTTGATCTTCTTCCTTAGTACCAGGCCTCTTGCCTGGCTGTGTGGCCTTTTGTACATCAGCATGAAGGACGAGGAGGAGGAGAGTACTTTACGATTATGATAGATGGTAAGTATAGACCCGGGGGCGGCGTTGGGACGGTTGGGGTTCCGCGTGTGCGCCTGCGGGGCCCCATCGGCCGTATGCTTTCCCGTGTGTGTGTGTATGCCCGTGAGGCTGCTGATAGGGCTGCCCAACAAGCAGCCCCACACACGTAACGGGGGGAGCGCATGCAGGCGGGCACGCGACAGTGTTGATGGTGTTTCTGTTAGCTGTAAGATGCTACTGGGACGCTCTGGCGGTGGGGCCCCCGGGTCGTGTGTATGTGTGTGTGTGCATGTAGCAAGTCGTGTTTTCTTATTGTGGCTGGTGGGGGCTGGGGTGTGTGGGGCTGCGGAGGCTGCAGCAGGCAGCATATATGGCAGCGGGCAGGAGGCAGGGGGGTTACTCTCCTGTTCGGTGCATCGCGTGCTCCTTGATCACCCGCACAAGGAAGAGGCATATGGCTTTCAACAGAGTTGTATGTATTCCTAAGGGTACTAAATATATGTGTGACACCGTACCTACGTACATCTCCATACTTCTACACTACACGTACACCCCTGGAAATTACCCTGATCATCTAGATCAGGATCTCCCGCTCCTAGCATCTGACTGGACCTGCAATTGATAGGGGTGCATCAACCACAAACCAACCTACAAACCATACAAGCTATGCATGCTTTAGTAAATCGTAAGGTTTGGGCGCTTCATTTCCTGACTGCAGGGTTTGGGATTTTCCGTTTCCGTGCGAACATCTTCCCATATCATAGCCATTTATGAAGTTTATGACGACTTTTGTGTGGTGCATTATATGACAACAGACTGCTGGCAAGTTCGTTGGTTCGGTGAAGGGGTCGGTCGGTGCCCTCAGGCAAGCCTCCGCGCGCACCTACGATACGCATTGTGTATCGGCATGATGCTAAGCGTGCGCTGCGTATGGGACCAGTATCGAAACGTGACTCTTGTGTCTTTCTGTGCCGTGCTGCATGAAACTCGTTTACCGCAGATACGCGCGGGGTGCACCACTGGGTACCAGGCGCGTTCAGCAGCCTTATGTTCAAGCTATTAATACCAGACATGTAGGGTTGGAAGTCATCTAAACCTAAACTTCTAAACTTAGATGAGAAACTTTAGAAACTAAACTGAGATATTACATGGAATTTTTTGGCGCCTTAGTTGTACGGCAGCTCCGAAACCTGAGGAGCGACCTTAGGTAGTCCTGAGAAACTTTAGAACAAGCTGTCTGAGGACTCATCCAATAGTTAGAGCATGCCGCCGTACAGGGACATCTATGCCAACAGCAAGAAGTACGCCACCCTCATGCAGCCAGTCAGCGACGCCATTCACCAGTTCGAGGGCGACAGGCCGTCCATTGGACAGGTTCTGAAGGTGCAGCGCGCTCTGGACGCGCACTTCGCGGAGTTTGACAAGCAAAACCCCGACATGATGGTGAAGCCGCGGGGCAACAAGGAGGCTGTGGGTGTGCAGAGCGTGTACGAGCAGCGGCGTGGGAGCACTCTGTCCAACGCGCTTGTCCCGCTCGCCCACGCCCTCGACCCCATCAACTTCGTTCAGCTGAATGGCGGGGACAACTGGTTTCCGCCGTTCCACGAGCTCAGCAAGGAGGAGCGGAAGGACGCCCGTAAGCTGGCGGCTGAGGTGTATGCGGGCAACGGTGAGGGTGCAACGGAAGAGGACCGGCGGGCGGACAAGGTGTGTTTGCAGCACTGGCGTGTTGTTCTTGGTGAGCGCCATCAATCCTATCTAGCTGCTGACAGCACGTGAGATTGCATCGTGTTTTAAACAGGCTGTTGTGTTTCACCTCCTTCTCCAACGCCTGCTGTGTTTCAGGAGATGCTTTCTGAGTGGGGCACGCTCGCCCTAATGGGCGTCCCCGACGACTGCAAGGAGCACATGGAGGTGCTGACCGCGCGCAAGACTGTGGAGAGCAAGGCCGGCAATTCCACCACAGTGTCAGTGCAGATCGCGGGCATTGAAGCGCGGCTTAATGTTCTGGTCGCAGCACATGTCCGTGCAGTACCCAGCACTGGCGAACGTGGCGGACCGTGTACTGCGCATGCACACGACCACCTGCGCTGCTGAGCGCAACTGGTCGCTGTGGGGCAACATTTTCAGCAAGGCTCGCAACCGCCTGGCGCAGGAGCGGGCGGAGAAGCTCATCTACATTCGCCAGAACGACGACTCCAACAAGGGCAAGGGCAGCCGCCTGTCGGACGAGGAGGTGGTGATGACTCTGCTGGCTGCAGAGGATGAGAAGAGCGCGCGTGTGTAATGGGCGGCGGGGTACACCGACTGGCACGTGGTGCCTGGTGTCGTGGTGTGCAGTTCAGCAGTTTGCCAATCGCTGTGTTCTTTGGAGCGTTTAGGGGCTTGCTACTTGCTATGTAATGCTCGTTTCCATGGGTGTGCAGTGGCTTGCAGGCGGTGGTGTCCCGTGGGTCCCTTGCCCCGTGTGCCAACTGAGCACCTTTCGCTGCGCACACTCAACGCAGCGCAAAACTATTGAATTATCGTTAATAAGCAGCAAATGGGGATTCTAATTCCTAAGTTTCAGCCTAAACGACCCTTCCGCCAGAAAGTAGCCGAAACCTTAGTTGAGATTTCTAAACTTCTCAACTAAACCTAATTAGTTTCTAAGGAAGTTTAGTTGAGATAAAATTTCCATCTAAGGAAGTTAAAAACCCTACAGACATGCATTCCTGATACTGTTATACCACGACTTTAGAAAAGTACCGATCGGCGGATGCAGATCCCGTGATGTGCCCAGGATACTACAGATACGCACAGCTAGGCCAAGGCACGCAGGCTGTGGTTAGTGCCCCTTGCGGGTACTTAAAGCTGAGATAGGCCCCCGATGAGCGATTTATGTGGGGGCCCCCTCTCTAAAGAACCTGCTTCTATCTGGCTGTCATGCAAGGATGCATCCTAGCTGCATTTCCTATACTGCATGTTTGCTATGTACTCATTTCCTGACCTATTCTGTGTGCACGTGCACCGATCAAATGGCAAGAGGATTGAATAATAAACCCGAAGGCAAAAAAAGCTTGCCGATGAAATCAGCGAACAAATGGCCAAAACAACCAAGCAAAGAAACCAAACCACCTTCGCCACTACGTGAGGATGCATACCTGCCATTCCGTATCCCATCGTCCGCCCTGCCCTCCACACAGTCCCGCCGTTAACCCTCGCATGGCTCACAAACCTCCCACTGCTAGTTGCTGTGCGCCCATACAAAGCCCATGCAAAGCCCGCAGTGGTGACATGCGTGGCTGCCATAACCGACAGAAGGAGAAGAGTAAGAAAAAGAAGTAAAAGACCCTATCCGCGCCAACCAACCAACCAACAGTGCGCATGCGCTGTAACTCGTCATGCAGCACCCGACCGACAAGATGGGTGAGCGAGGCCCCACTAACGCACGCAGGGCAGGGTAAAACGAACACGCGATCGCTGGCTCCGAGATCGCCTGCTATGCCATTTATCCCCGGCCCAATGGCCGGGGGGTCATTGCGCACCAATCTGATCAACAGATAGCCAGTCAGTCAATTGGCCGGGGATTGAGCAAGTATGGGCACACACACACAAGTATATGTAGCTAGGTAGCGTAGCACAGGTCGGTGTACTACTCGAATGCTATGTATGATCCATGCAAGACGAGCCTGCAAAAGACAAGCCTATTGCTGTCAACGGTGCGCAAGTCTGACGCCTGGATGCCTCTGATTTCCGGTGTTTTGTTCCCTTGTGCGCATTATGCCAGGTTTTCATGCAGGTCTGCACCCTCCCGCACCCTCAACCTCCTACTGTTGTGACACCCCCTGCGTTTATCTCGACACCGGGCGAGGTGTTGGTTCTAGCCTCTCAATCCGCCCCGGCCCCCACCCAGTAGGAGTTGTTCTGTCAGTCGGTCGGTCGGTCGCCTGGCTGGCTGCCTGGTAGGTTCCCCCTCCGTGTACAGACCGTCTGACCCGGGGTTTGGTCTGTGGCAGTGCTGACCATCCACCATCCGACTAATCGTGCTGGAAGGTGGTCCGGAACACCTTGATAAGCAACCAGATAAGGGCGACATCTGCCACCGCGAAGACCAGCGTTACCAGTCGCCGATTGGCCAGCAGTGCATCCAGAGCTCCAGTCACCACACCTGTATGTCCGAGCAAAAATGGTGTTCATTTAAGACGATGGATGGAAAGCAGGGGGGAAATGTGATGGAGGCTGTTCAGCAATAATGAATGGATGTCGACCAAAACCGTCGCCATCGCCCGAAAGAGTTCGGGTTCTATTCCAGTCGAGCTGTGATTCCTCGCAGCAAAACCCGCATTGCTGAAAAATCGGGGGGGTCAAACGGAACGAGTACGCGAGTTTCAGGCAAGGCCGCAAAGAGGCGGTAAAGTAGCACGTCAGGGAGACCATGTCCCGGCGATGTACGACCATAGCTGGCCATTTAGACAGTTTGCAGGGATTTGTGAACAGTTCGCAGAGATTTGAAATGGCAAGAACGCTGTATGTCTTAAAGCCTACCTGCACGGTCGTTGCCAAGGACTTCGCGTAACTTTGCAATTCCGTCCAACCCAAGGACGTCCTGTGCCGTTGTCCCTTCAGACTTAAGGGTTTGGATCAGTGCCTCCTTAGCAAGGGATCCGGTAGATTTAGTTTCTGTTGGCGCTGTGGCCTTGGGCTCTTCTGGATTGGCCGCAAAACTCTGACCCTCTTTAGGCAATGCTCCCAACCTTCCGAAGTTATGAGCGCGCGCTTTGGTATGCACAATGCACAAGCAGCTTCGCATCCGACCAGCAACGGTTGCTCCAGCGGTTGCTTTCCAGCCGCATAATTTAATATTGGCCATATTCATATATATTATGCTACGAAACCTTCCCGTCTCAACCGTGCACGTAAAGTGTCCAATATTTTGTCGGACGAGTTAAGGTAAGGCAGCCCATACAATGCTTCATGGATTTGCAAGGTTATAGCACCTAGCTACGTAGCAATCAGAGGTCACACATCATAACATCGTTTATGTTTAATTGGCCATGGTAATGGCCGCTTGAGTCCCGTATTGTACGGCTGGGCAGGTAAATCTATGGCTGAGGACTGCTACACTGGTGGTGCATAGGTACGCTGGTATTACTGGAACCTTCACGGCATACTAGAACCTTCGTGGCTACTGCACTTGTGGTGAAGTTGGGCCGACACGTGCCAGAACATGTAGCAAGGGCCTACAGGGGCGTTAAGACGATTACCAGACAGGAGGCGGGGACCGAACGTACGCGGATGCGCTCTCCTCCAGAGCCGGTGCCAGCTAACCACACTTGAGAGGAAGCACTTCGGCAGTATCGTCTAGGATTAGGTACCACGTTGTGACCCCCCTAGGATTAGGTACCACGTTGTGACGTATGGGTGGGCAGTGTTTTTAAAAGTGGTTACTAGTGACCATGTGGTTACCGAGAAAATAATTCCCTTCCGGAAGATGGTCACTAGGAAATGTTTTGTGTGATCTGCCAGTAACCAGGTGACCGCCAGGAAATTGGGCCGCAGAACCCCGTTGTGACCACCAAATCGTTCTGTACACATACCCATGTAAGTAAACAATCAACATATAAGCGTTGGCTGTTCAAAACCGTAAATGAGCGCTGTGAAGTTGGATCTGGTTCTAGTGGGCTCCTGTAACAGGAGTCCTGTTCAGCATACTCGCTGGGAAAAAAATGTAAAGTGGTTACCAAGGAAAACCCCCACAGTAACCACTTGGTCACTAAAAAATTACCCTGGTGAAAAAGTTTTAAAAACACTGTGGATGGGTATGGGTGCAAGGCGGCATGGGGCGGAGCTAACTCTAAGCTTGCATTTGGTAAGGCAACGGACAGCTGAGGTAAACGATACTGCGAGCAATGGCTTCGCCTGTCATGCAAGTCCCTACCCATGGACAGAAAGATAATCTAATAATTCTAGTGAAGCTTTGTAAGCTATCACTGATGTATAGCTGGCGGGCGCATGCAGGTACGACGCAGTATACAGGCTGGGGGGATCCAAGGAAGCTACAGCTTGCCGACTACTTCACTGTTTGGGACGGAGAGCGACCATTTGAATTTGCCCACAGCATCTATTCATTGAAAGCTAGCACATTGTGTGTAAGCATGCACAAAGGGTGTCCTAGCAAGTGTATGCCGCCTCACGTGTCCTAGCTAGCACGATCGTTGGATGACCTCGCGACTGCTGGCGGGGGGCCATGTGGCGCCATCTGGATGACCTCCCGACTGCTGCATAAAGGTTCCGTAGGGTTAGGGTAGTCCTGCCGGGCAGCAGCTTCTTGAATAGCCCCGCAGGATGACATGGGTTTATTTAAATGGATGCCTGTGAGCCTCATGCGTGTGCGCCATGCATGTAAAACCGAGCGTAACCAGCTTAGAGCCCAAAAGTCCGGCATGATTTAGATCTTTTGATTCTGGACATACGGTAGTTCCTTTGACAGCGAAATGAGCTGGTTCGCTACCCCTTGTGTGGCGTCAACCCGCACATCGTTTAAATCTTGCGTGCTGCTGGTGCTACTGCAGCTGCTGTGCGACCTGCTTTTTTTTTGCGTGTGTGTGTGTTACATGGTTGGGGGTGCGTGACCCCATACCTGTAAGACTACCCATACGAGCCGAGGGCCCAAGGGCGACCTGCTGCTGCACATGCGGTGCACACGTGTGGCTGTGTGAGCTTTCCGGGGGGTTACCAAGCAGGCGGCAAGCCTAGGCGGGCAGGTTTCGCAAGGGCCCCAAGGACCGCACCCAAGGCCCTTCCGTGGCTTTTCCTTGACTTCACCGGTGCAGCACTTCGCGTGAATTCGCGAGTCCGACTCGGTGTTTGGGCGAGCGGCGAGCTGAAGCAAAATTCCTGTCAGGCCCCGTGCTGCTCTGGTGTACCGGCATTCTAGGGCCTCGGGGCCCCATCCGCGTGTCGTCGTTACACATGTGTGGATGTGCACGCCTTGGGCGCCCGACTTACTGCCTGCCGGACGGCCACTACATTACAATACTAATGTGGGGTGGGCTGGGAAGCCGCAGAAGATAATTATGAATAATATTGCAATATGAATAACCATCATGATAATAGATATTGTTACTTAGGTAGACGGAGGTGAAAAGTGGAATTGGGAGTCCAAGCCACATCAGACCGACTTCCGGGTACACAGGAAGTACGGGGAAAGGAAGTCCAGCTCCCAAAGGAGCAGTCGCCGCATCTCGCAGCCTGCCTTTCCTGCCCTCTAGGACGAACCCTTGGCAAGTTGTTTAGAGTGCATCTTTCCACATTCGCGCCCACCAGCCAACTTCGGGCGCCCGGATCAGCCTTGTCGTAGTACCTACTATTGAGGCCCCCACTTTGGTCCATTCTCGGGTGACCGACCCGGTCACATGGCGGTATTGCAGAAGGAAATATCGCATACGCCGCTGCACAGCGCGTGGGTGAGAGTCATATATGAAATCCGGGAAAGGTAATGAATGATGATAAGACGTGACCTCGTCTCTTCTTTCTGCGTGCATCTTTGCAAGCAAGTTGTGCAGCTGCAACTTACCCATGCCTCTGATGATGTGCCGTACCGACCTCCCTCATATCGCCGACCTCCCTCGTTTGCCCGGTTGCGATTGCATTCGGCCGCTCCGTGCAGGAGGGCGGGGAGCGAGGAGGAGAGGCACATGCGGGTCCGGAAGCCCTTATATGAAGCCGCTGGCCGCGCAAGCTGTCCTTGGAGAAAAAATTCACAGCTGGTTCTGTCAGCTGTTGGTTAGATACGAACACGCAAACTTAAGGCAAGGGCCCAAGATTCGGGCTCGCGGTCGGATATTGGCAGCGTGCTAACACGCGGGCTGGTTTCTTATTGTTGTCGTTCGCCGTTTGATATCATGTCACATGTGTTACAGGGCTGCACGTTGTGTGGTTGCCTCGTGCCGTATCCCCTTGAGTCATCAGCTTCGGCGTCGCGTCTGAGTACGACGGCATGCGTCTCGTCACACGACTCGAAGTGCGCGGCTGCCATGGCCGTAAAAAAACAGTGGCCTGACAGGTTATGACAGGAGGGCCCCTGCGCCCTTTTTCCAGCTACAAGAAGGTGAAGCCTTGTCCTTGGCGGGGCGGGCGCGCACAGACTGGGTGCCCGAAGGCGAACGCGCCAAGCTTGCATCAATTAGATTCTCAGGGTCCCCACGAAGAGGTGTTATCTGACCGCAGGGTGTCAGGGTGATGGTAGTAGCGCACGCGGGGGTCATCATGCCGTCCGCCGATGCCAAGGAAGTCGAATCGTGCGCTGCATCCTATCGCATTCGGTTATATCCACAGCACGAATCTTTTCAGGAAAATATTTTTTATCCCTGATGCGACGCAAAAATTTAAAGTAAGAATGAAGACTTTTGGCAATTTCGCTGGGGCAAGCGCAGGTAGAGAAAGCCGACATAATTCCGGCGGATTACTGCAGCGCACCGCCAAGGCACTGCTGTCCGCGGGAAAAGGTAAACTTTGCTAACGACTTTTAATCAGCATTGAAACATTACCTCCTCCTGGCCATGCAGCGGCTCGTCACAATTTGGTGTACGAGGAGATGAACCGGCACAGACTTGCCCCATCCCTAGCATAACAGTCTCTGCAGCTGTCCTGCGCAATTGGGTAGCTAGGTATTATCACCTAAATAAATTATATATTATATATTATATATTATATACTTTTATATTGTCAACGAATAGCGATTTAACGCCACACCACGGACCAGCTGTACCTGCTGCTGCGATAGACGCATATCCGCAGCAGGCCCGCATATCGTCAACATACTTATTGCAAATCTTCCAATGCCAATCAGATTCAAATTTTTTTCTGAGATAAATGCACTTTTTCTTGAGATTCGTTGTGGCAGTCGATTGTGACTGTCCGTGTACCCCCTGACGTGCGTACCTCGCACAGCTCCTCCCTCTCGGCTTCGGGGCACCGCCAGCAACCTCACCTAGATTACACGACCAACATCAGCTCGTCCCGTAGCGCCTTGGGAACCCCAATACGGCCCCTCAAAGCAATAGTAGGCAACTTGTCCTCTACCTTTCCTACCTGATTGTCTCGTCGTCTTACCTGCGATTGCCGCCGACGGACTTATGGCATGAGTGACATCAGCCCTGCACACACACAGCAGGTAAGGCAAAACACACTTCCACCCCATCGCCCTGGACATCCGTTATTCTCCCGCCTATCCAACCTCCTACCCTTACATATCCCCTGCCGTACGTCCCGTACATCTTGTCGCGGTCGCGCACAACGGTTCACCATCTCGCCCAATATGTACCCCTAATATCCTGGTGACCCTTCCTTGGACCGCTCTCCTCTCCGCTTTGTGCGCACTCCCCAGGCTCAGATCGAGCGGGGCCGGGAGGCAATCCGCGAGGCGCTACTCGCGCGGGGGCTGCTGGACCCGCAGCTGTGCGGAGCTACCAGGAAGTCCGCGAGCCCCCGCCACCGCCTCCTCCCAACCAGCAGCGGCCGCGCGTCCACCTGCTCGTCCCAGTTCCAGCAGGCCCAGGCCCCGCCACTGCAGGGCCCGCAGACGCGGACTCAGCCCCAACAGCCGCCAACCGCAACAACACTAGCAGCAGTAGCAGCGGCAGCGGCAGTAGCGGCAGCAGCAGCAGGCCCAACTACGCAACAGTTCAAGCCTCGCGCCTCCTCACCCGCCCACCGCTCTGGCGAGAAACCCCGTACCCGCAGCAATAGGCCCCACGTCCACGTCGTGACCGGCACCAAGGCGGGCAGTCCGTATGCGCCTACATCCGCTGAGAATCAACCCCGGGGGCTGGCTGCCTCCTCACCCACAAGCCCGATGGCGGCTCAGGCACGGCGGCGGCGGAAGCGGCTGCTGGAGGCCCGGTCCCAGACCCGCAGCTCCTTCGGGGCACAGGCCGTGGACCTCACCATCCTCCGGCAGTTCAGTAACAACGGCCGTAACAGGGGCACCTCGGAGGACTCCATGTCGAGCGGCGAACACGAGGGAGCTGGCGGTGACAGAGCTGGAGCTGGAGCTGGAGCTGGAGCTGGAGCTGGGGCGCGTAGGGTTGTTGGGGGTGGGAATGGGGTTGGGGATGCAGTTGGCGAGCGCAAGGGGGCGATATGCGGCTCAGAGCTACTGTGCGGGCAGAGCAGGTCAGGGCTAGCAGCTGGAGGCGCCAGAGGCGGCGTCTTGGGGGACGAGTTTTGGGACGAGGACGCGGACGGAGTGGTGGACCTCGGGAAGCTGGTCCGCGAGGAGAGGCGGCGGCTGGCGGCGGTGCAGAGTAAGGTGCGGAGGAGGGCCGGGTGGTTTCGTCCTCCTCCTCCTCCTCCTCCTCCTCTTCCAGCTAGCTAGAGGCCTCTGCCCCATCACCCTCTTCCTCCGCCTGCATCAAGGGACATTCTATTCACCCACATGCGCCACAAACCGCTCCTTCCCCTTCCCCCTCACCCGCACACCGCTTTCAACCCTCATCCAACGGTGGAATCACGCCCACCCACCCACTCACCCACCCACTTCCGCCCACCAATTAACTACCACCTCCCCCCCCCCGGCCCACCCCGCTGGCAGGTGACTGGCATGCTCCGCTCCCAGCGGCGGTACCGGGGCCTTCTCGCGGGTCGGCCCGCAGGTCGGGACCCGCGGGTTAGCAGCAGCAGCAATAGCGGGGGGGCCCACACCACTCTCAGCCTGAGCGCGGAAGAGCTGACCGCGTCTGTCATACCCACCCCCGCTCAGCCCCCCGCGGGGGTGCACCTAAAGGTGCCCGATGACGACATCCGCTTCAGCGGCGTACGACTGAGCTTCCTACTGGGCCTCCTCGAGGTTGGTGTGTGTATGTATGTATGTATGTATGATGTGTGGGACAGGGGGGGTCATATCTTTACCCTGTGGCCGCTACCCGGCAGACCCTGCCTTCCCCGGTATTTAAGGGCACCCTCATCCAGTCACCCTAGCCGGCTTCTCAGTGGATCGCTCAGGTTCCGCACCCACCACCAGCATCCAATGGAATCTGCCGGATCAATGGCGGCTCAACTCCATTCCAGGCCAGCTCGTAGGTCAACTTTATCCCAGCTCTCCACCGTCCATCAACTAGGGACACATTTACCTTCCACCATCGGAAGGATTTATTGGCCCTGGCAGATCTCGATCCTGGAACCTCCGGGGGCATCGGTGTGTGCTTTACCAGTAGTGCCTGACCCACGTATGTATGTTTGTGAGTAGGTAGGTAGGTAGGTACGTACGTATATACGTACGTACGTGTCTCGGAAGGGAGGCAGGGTTCTCCGAAGGGAAGATGTGCTAGGCGGCCCTTATTTGACAAGGAGGTGCGCGAGGAGGGAGAAAGGTAAATGGTGGCAAAGAGGCGAAAACGGCCTCGGACTAAGCCCCGAATGTGATAGGCCCCGGTGCGCGCGAGGAGGCTCCTCCGAGGTGGCTGAAGGAGCAGGTGGCCTGAGTGGGGATTTAGGCGGGGCGAGAGGAAAGAGCGGTTGCACTGGGGGAAGGGAGCCCCTTGCTTGGGGGCCCCTAGCTTTGCAATGCTCTTCTCTTCCCCCCTCTCCCCCTCCCGCTCCTTCTCCCCCCCCCCAAGTTCGTGTACCACCACCGGCATTTCCATCATCGCGGCTCAGATCATTAAAACACACACCCACACCCACACACATACACCCCCCCCCTCCCACACACACACACACACATACACACACACATACACACACACATACACACACGCACACCCCTGCACCTGTGCAGGTCCTGGAGCAGCACCCCTCCATGTTCCCGAGCACCCGCGACCTGGTGAGCCAGCTGGTGGTGCCCCTCACCGCGGAGAGCCGCTGTCGGCTGCTGGACCTCATACCGACCAGCCAGCGGGGGCAGCCCCACCACTACATCTGCCACGCCTGGTCCACCAACGTCCGGGAGCTGCTGGCCACCCTGAAGAGAGACATGATGCCGGGACCACCCCCACCTCCACCTCCACCCCCACCACCGCCACCACCACGGCCGACATTGAGTCTCAGCATGTCGGGGAAGTGGAGCGCGTTGGGTTTGGCAGTACGGCTGCCCAAGGTTCTGCGTCCTGTGGTGGCCCCGGCAGCAGGCGGCGGGGCCAGGGAGGGAACGGGGGCCGGTCGGGGGGAGGGGGAGGGGGAGGGAGGGGGTGTTACTGCAGCAAGTACGGAAAAGGCGGGAGAGGGGCGCCGCGGCCAGGCGGCTGATGCCGTTGGGCGGGGCGATGCTGGTGGCGGTGGCGGTGGTGGTGGTGGTGGTGGTGGTACTGGCGGGAGGTGTAACGGGGTGGGGAAGGGGAAGGACACCCTCGTTTCTCAGGAAGCGGAGGAGGAAGGGGAGGAGGAGAGTGGCAGCGAGGAATCTGATGGGGGAGATGGGGGCAGCGACAGCAGCCGGGAAGGGGAGGGTGGGGGTTCCCGGCTGGCTGGCGGCTTGGGGGCCGGGACGTACCTTCCGCGGCTCTCCTCCCGGTTCGCCTCCTCCTCCTCTCCTTCGCACTTCCCCTCTCTCCCCCCTTCGGCGGCCCCCTCCCGCTTCTCCCGGGCCGCCGGTAGGCCCCCCCCATTGGAGACCGCTCAGCAGCCACCAGCAGCAGCAGCAGCAGCAGCAGCACTCCATCACCGTCATCAGGATGCGGCCGGAAGAGGGGTCACCTTCCTGCCGCGCATCGTTGCCTCCCCGGGGGGGAAGAGGGTCAGCGGATCTGGACCAGCAGCGCCACCAGCAGCGCCAGCGCCAGCAGCAGGGCCCAACATGTGCACCACCACCACCACCACCACCACCACCACCACCACCACCACCACCAGCGGCGGCGGCGGCGGCGGCGGCGGCAATAGCAGGGCCCCCTCGTCACCCCCCCGTCAGGCAGCCCGGGGACATGGCCGCGGTCAGGGAGGAGGCGAGCTGGGCTGGGAGCAGCAGGAGCGCGCGATGGAGACGTGGAAGCGGCTGATGGAGGAGCACAAGGTGCGGACTTGTGTAAAGATGGTGGGATGGACGGGGCCTTGGTGTGGGCGGGTGGAAAGAGGCGGCGTCCCGCCAGGATTTCGTTTTCTAGGGCCCCCTTCAAACCCAACGGAGGGTTGGGGGAGGTTGGGGTTTGGGGGGGGTTGCGTCGTCTTTTGCAGGGGCCCGGGTGGCGGCCCGAGATGGTTGAGGTGGTGGGTGTGGTGGGTGTGATTGGATGTATGTGTGTATGTATGTGTACGTGTCCGCCAGCCCCCCCCGCGTCCTCGCATCACAACCCAGCTAGCTATACGGCCACGTCGCCACCAATACCACTATCCAAGTCATCACTTGTCAGTTGTGAACATATCCCTGATGCAGCATTTGTTGGTTTCTCCTTCCTGGACTATCCGTGACTATCTCTGGTATCTGCCCCAATGGTCAGTGGTGGTTCGGCCCTGTCACCGCCCCCCTGTCCTGCAGCTCCTTTGCCCCGGTACGTGCACAGTCCCCGTCCTCACCACTGAGGATTGGCCACCGACAATTTTTGCGTCCGTACAGACAGACAGACAGACAGACAGACATGCGTGCGTTGATGCGTGGATCAGCTAGCAGCTAGGTGCACACTAAGTAGTGGGTGGGTAGGTGGGTAGGTGGGTAGGCCACTCAATCTGCCCATCACACTCGGGTTGCGTGTACCGCATTGCCATTTTTTTCCTGATCAACTAACTCCCCTCACCTCGCCTCGCCTCATCATTGCCCTGCTCCCCTGCTTTTCCCCCGCCTGGCCGGCCCGGTCTCCCTCCCCCCTCAGGCTGCGGTGCAACGCGCTCTGGACCAGGTGGTTTGGATCGACATAGTGTGCAACAACCAGCACTCCGCCGTAAAGAAGGACTACGGAAAGGCGAGGAGCCGGGAGGGCGGGAAGGGAGGAGCCCCCATGGGGGGGTGCGAGTGTTCGTGCATATAGGGCAGGAGGGCGGTGTGGGGACTGTCTGTTCTTTTGGCTCTCAATGGGGGCCAAGGGGGGAGGGGCTCCGGGGTGCGGGGGATGGCGGTCGTGTCTTGCCGCGACCCAGTAGACCACCCCACCTGGGCAGCCCCTGGATTGCCCACCTGCCCGCGGTGGTGGGGTCAATCCCGTGGTGTCGTGTCCTGTGCTCTCCTGAGCCGCGGTACCCCCGCCACACGCACATGCAACATTCCCTCCTCCCACCCCGCGACACTGCACACATATCCGGATACGCAACCGCCCATCGGGGGCTCCTCGTGGCCGCGTCCCTTCTCGGCCCCGTCCCCAACCCCCTTCACAGCCCCCCCGCGGGTTCTTGGTTGATGAAATATGATACTCCCCTTCCCCAGGTGGCCCGCACTGTGGTCTCGTGTGGTGCCACCGTGCTGGTGCTGGACCCCGACCTGACCGCGCTCCGTCGCACATGGTGCCTGTTCGAGATCATGCACTGCATCAGGTGCAAGCGGCACCTCAAGGTCTTCAGAACGGACCGCCCGCTCAACCCGCAACATGCAGCAGCGGCACCTAGCAACCAATCATACCACTCACACCAGCAGCAGCAGCAGCAGCAGCAAGGCCAGCCGGGGGGACTCCGGTTGCCGTCCATCTCCGGGGCCTCTATGTCCCCACCCCCCAGTTCCCCGGGGGCGGCTCAGGGGCGAGTCAGTATGGTGGGGCAGGCGGGGTGGGGTGGGGGGGGAGGGGGGGGGTTCGCCAGTGATGTCGACCGGCGGTGGGACCGGGCGGTGGAGAGCATCAGCTTCGCGGACAGCCGGGCGAGCTGCGAGACGGACCGAGTGGGCATACTGCAGGTGCGTGACGGACCGAGTGGGCATACTGCAGGTGCGTGTGCGTGTATGTGTGTGCGTATGTGTGTGTGTGGGGGGGGGGGAAGGAGAGGCGGCCTCCCCCCGCTCAACTCACTCCTCCACCACCACCGCCATCGGGCGGCCAAGTGCGGGGAAAGTAAATCGACTCCCGACTTGCCGTCTTGGCTCACCTCCCTCTGTTGGTCTTCCCTCCCGCTGCTATCACCCTCCCTCCCCCCTCCCCTCCCCTCCCCTCCCCCCTCCCTGCCCCCCTCAGGAGGTCCTGTCCACTGTGGGCACCTCGTACGTGGACGAGGTGGTCCGGGGGGCTCTGCGGCTGTCCAACGCCCAGCGCGCAACCCAGCTGGCTCTGCGGCGGGAGCAGCTGCGGACCACCTTTGTGCTGCTGCAGCCCGAGCCCGTCATGGTGGGCACGGAGCAGTACGCCAGGAACCTGGCCAAGTGCCGGGAGCACCTCACGGTAAGGGAGGGGAGGAAGGGGAGAAGGAGGTGAGGGAAAAGGGACCTGAGGGAGCTTGGTGGTTCAGGGGATGGTCCAGGGGAGGGAGATGTTTCCTGCCATGCCGTTGTGTACGGAGGGGTCTCCTTGTGCCGGGGTGCCTGAGGGGAATCCCGCGACCCCACTAACTAGGGAATCCACTACGGACCACCCTTGTGCCTTGACCATGGCATCCATTGCAGCAGCCGCCCACCTACGTATGTGTACTTCCCCTCCCCTCCCCCCCCAAGATCTGTGTCCGCCTATCATTGGCCCACAGCAGGCCTACCCCCGTTGCCCCGCCAACACCCGCCTGTTGGGGTGTGGAGGACTTCCTGTTCCCCCTATCCTTGCCGCCGCCACCCCGCTGTCTGTCTTACCCCACTCCTACAACTACCCGGGAAGGTGTGCTGCCGGGAAGGGAGTACACCTTCCCGGCAGCTCCCCCTACTATGTGTGTGTGTGTGTGTGTGTGTTTAACTCCTCTTCCCCCCATGCGCCTCCCTCTTTCCCGCTTGCGACGCTTGCCGACTGCTCCCCGGTGTATTTCCGCTCCCCTCCTGCCCCTCGCTCCCCCCTCCCCCCTCCCCCGTCCGCCTCCACCCGCCCCCCAGTCCGTACTTCAGCAGTACTACCCGGACGAGCTTCTTCGCTGCCTCATCCCCCGGGACTACGTGTCCGACAGCGCCCGCTGCTGGGACATGCTGTGCATATTCGCGCAGGTCCTCGACCGGGAGCAGTTCAAGGAGGACGCCAAGGTACTCCGCGGGCTGGCATGGCTGCTGTTCAAGAGGTGGGTGCTACAGGGGGAGGGGGATGGATGGATAGGCAGGCAGGTAATTAGATAGATTGATACCCAGGTACATACATGCATACATGCAGGCATGGAGGTTCCAGGATCGAGACCGGTCAGGGTCGAAATTCCTTCCGACTGGGTGGAGGGTGAGAGTCTCCCTGTCAATGGACGGTGGTGGCCTGGGATAAAGTTGACTTGCGAGCTGACCAGGAATGGAGTTGAGCCGCGGGTGCTGGATGAGGGTGCCCCGAAATACCGGGGAAGGCAGGGTTTCACCGGGTAGCGGCCATGGGTGAAGATATGGCCCCCCTGTCCCACACATCATACATATATACATACATACATACATACACGCACCTGGCCCGCAAGCAACCAGCACTGCTCCCCACGCATGCACCACTTCTGGGAGTGCCCCGTCGCACAAGCTGTCCGGGAGCAGATTGATCGACACATACAGCCCTCCCAGGAGGCAGCGACAGGCGGCATCACCCGGAAGCAGCTGTGGCTGGTCCAAGCCCCGACCGGCTGCGAGCAGGCCCCCTGGGATGTGATCGCCCTGGCAGCCCTGTCTGCCATGGAGGTAGGCAGGTGTTGTCTGCGAGCAGCCGGAAGGCGACTGGAAAGGGCGGCTAACCCCGCGACAGAACAGCCAGAGCAAGCGCAACAGATCCAGGCGCAAGGGCCCCAACAGCGGCGGATAACGGACTTCTTTCACCTGGCCAACGGAGTGAGACCGCACGAGGGGCCGCCGCTGAACGCGCCGGTACTCGAGGATCAAACGCAGGGGCCCATCGCGGGACCGGGGACGGCAACAGCAGCAGCAACAGCAGCAGCAACAGCAGCAGCAACAGCAGCAGCAACAGCAGCAGCAGCAGCAGCAGCAACAGCAGCAGCAACCCCCCTGGAATACGCCCGCGCTCGGGCAGTAGTGGACTTCTGGGCGCGCTTGCCGCTCTTTCCCGCGCTTAATGTCCCAAGGCGGGGCTGGGACGGAGTGGGACCCCACCACCCGATCCTGTCAATCGTCGGGGGAGCACTGCGCTGCGCGGAGGCGGTGGACATCACGACCTAATGGTCAAGCGGACGCGGCGGGAGCTGGAGTTTAGGGGATAAGGGGATAGGGTGTCGAGGCGCGGAGGGGGGTTTTGAGGTGGTGGGGGTGGTAGGGAGGTCGAGAGGGAGGTTGAGGGGATAGGTTGCGAGGGGGGCGGGATCAGGGATGGGGCTTGGGGGGGTGCCGCGCAAGGGGACATGGGGGAGGGAGGGTTTATTTGCCTGGGGGAGCCGTACCGGCGGAGGGGGGGGAGACCGGGGAAAGGGCGGGGAGAGCCGGGGGGGGAGGGGAAGAGGTAGAGAGTACACCAAGAGGATGTAGGGTTGAGGAGTGGTGAGTGGAAACAGGTGGCCGTAGCGAGGGCGCGGATGAGGGGGAGGTGGGCACCCAGAAGGGGGGGCCGTACTCGAAGGTGCGCGCGTGGTGCAGGACTAGGTTTTTCAGGGCACGAGACCGGGTTTTTCGTGGTGCGGCGTCTAGGTGAGATAGGATCTTGGGAACCAGCCGTCTTGGTAGAGCGGTATTGGGGGGGCGCCGAGCTGGCTACCCTCCCCCCCTGTGGTTTCCGGAGGCTTGATCGCCCTGCGTTGCCGCAGGGTCTTCCCGTTTGAGTACTTTTCAATTTAGACCCAGTGCTGTGGAAGGGCGCGGACTTGTGCGGTGTTACCCCCTCGACGGGGGCTATCTCCCCTGGACTAGCCCAGGGAGGGAGAGGCGGAGGAGGGTAGTAGTCTCAGGAGGCTGTTTGGCGTCTTGTGGTGTGAGCTCTTTGCGCTCTTTTTTGCGTGAGGATTTTTGAGCTTGGTGACCTCCCCAGCCCGGGAAGACTCGTCGGGCTCCCGGTCGCCCAAGTCCTGGTAGCGAGCTCTCTGAGATGCTCGGTTCGTTCGGTCGGCAGGAAGAGCCCCCCAGTTGCGACTTCGTTTATGTTAGGAGACCAACGGGCATAGATCCCGTCTAGTTGGAGCGCCAAACAAGCGCTGTTGCGTGCCGGCCGTCGTTTCCCGTGCGGCCTGACCCGGGGGCGGAGTGCATGAGACTAACCAGCCGTATGCACCCGCCCCCCGCGCTGTGCTTCGGCCCGGGGCCCCCGGCTTTTCAGCCCACAGTGTAATCAACGTCATACATACATACATACATACATACATAGGAATAGATGCCGGAACCAGCATTTGCCCTTCTCCGTTTCTTCCTCGGTCTTCCCTCCGTCCACCTCCTCCAGCTCTCCCCTCTCCTATCTCCCCCCAGGCACAGCAAGTGCTACATTGACGTACTGTACGAGCAGGAGCTGGAGAACTGGCTCATGAACGGCCTGGAGAGGGACCGGAAGTGGCGCCGAGTGCAGGCCAAGCTGAAGCACGACCTGCAGAAGCGGTGGAGGTAGCGGCAGAGGGGAGTGCGGGTGGGCGCATGAGGGGGTGGGCGCGTGAGGGGGAGCGAGGGGAATGCATTATGTCTGTATGTATGTATGTATCTACGTTTTGTCTGCCAGAGGGGTGAGTAGCTCCACGAGGCCTGATGGCCCCACAGGGGCTTGCTGACCTGACCTGACCCTCTTGTGCCGCTGCTGCTGCTGCTGCTGCTGCTGCTGCTGATGATGATGATGATGATGATGATGATGATGATGATGGTGATGATATGATGGTGATGTGGTTGTTCCTCAGTGCTGCAGCCCAGCCGCTGTATCCTGCTGCCCTGCGACCGCAACGGCCAAGGAAGGAAGGAGCGCGGGTGGGGAACAGGCCCACACACGATTGGTTGGAATAATCATAATTAGGAGAAGCGGCCATCTGCCCCTAGGCTTGGGCGCTATCGATATGTTGTATTGTTTGCTGGTCTGTGGCCGTATGTGACCAATTCATGTTTCTGTGGTGTCGCATCGTATTAGTGAGTGTTTCGTATCGCTCGTACCATGTCGTATCATCGCACATTGTGTCGTATAATACCTTATTGTATGTAGCGGAAACCCTAATACGACAATATTGGTGGGTGAAGCGGAGGTGTTGACCTCCAGCGAGCAGGCAGTATGCCCGACATCAGAGGCCGGTGAGAGGCCCCCCCGGGGGGTTTCCTTGTTCGGGCTTGGGCGGGTGCGGTGGTTACGTTGACTAGATAGGTAGGTAGGTGGGTAGGGGGGGAGGGGGGGGTGACCAAGCTTTCGTTCTTTATTTTCGTTGGACATGCAAGTGCACTTCCAGAGGTCGTCCAGGCGTCGTACGGCATTCCGGTTGCCTCCCGGGTGCTTGGCGACTGCGGGTGGTGCGACCAGGATCTGATCATGGCCATGGTCTTGAGCATTGACAGCAGCTGCCGCCACGTACGGCACTCGCTTCCAGAGTGTGCTTTTATTCGTGCGGGACATCCGTGCATTGCATGCATGAATGGTATGATATGATATGCGAGGGGCTGGAGAGAATTCGCAGCCGTTTTCGCCAAAAAGAATCAACGCGAAGCGAGTTGTTTGGGCGTTGTGCAAGTATGACTGAATTCCGTTCCTATATGGCTGGTGTGCGGCGACCTGCTGCTGCTGGCTCGCTCCGCCGGTGGGTCCTTTGTGTACGACACATAATACAGCATACTACTTACTGTTCATACTGTTGTGCATGTTAACGGCGCCATGGCAGCCGATCCAATCGACCCGACCGGGGGGGGGGGCCGCTGCAAGTCCTGCTGTTCTATGGACAACCCAACAATAGTTTACACGTGCACCTTATACAAGAAACAATCATTTGTTGGGACGAAAAATTTATTTATTATTCGTACAAAGTTTATGCGCCCGAACGCATTATTCTCCCGGCTGGCTCAGGTACATGCTGACACTCCTGCATTACTAGTGTGTGATGTGCATGGGGCTGTTTTTTTTCGGGGGGACGTTAACCCTTCCTCTCAGAGTCTCAGAGCCGCAGTGGATGGGAGCTACTGCCCGTTCGATAAGTAAGGGAGTCCCGTTGCTGCCCTCCTCGCTCCCGTGCTCGCTATGGCGGCACCTGCCTTAGGGCGGGGGCCTCGAGCACACCGGGAGCGATTCGGTTGCCTGGTGCGTCCCCCGGCAAGTAGACAACCGTAAGTGTGCGTAAGGCCACGTCGCCCCGCCGTCATTCGGTCATTAGAGAGAGAGAGAGCGATCATGTGTGTATGTGTGCGTAGAGGAGTTTAGGTACGAAAAGTGCTTGCTGATTGCCGGACGAGGGACAAAGTGCGGAGCGGTGGACCTGCTGACTGGTCGTTGTTGATTTTGGTGAGAGCGCGGCTGCGGTAGCGTGCTGGAGAGCGCGGGGCTGCGGTGTAGCGTGGAGTGGTGTGTGTAGCTTGGAGTGGGGAAACTGGAGATGCGGACTGATGCCGGCGGCGTAGCTAGCTGGCGAGCGTGCCTTTGACTTGACGTTGGCGGATCAGAACTGTTGCAGCACAAACTGTTGCAGCACATACATTATCTTGTGGCTGCCCTTTGGATGTGTCGTACTATATCGGCCGCCCGCCCGCAGTCAGGATGGCCAGCAGCTGCCGCTGCCGCTGCTGGCTGACTGGTGGTGTCCGTGCAAAGATACATCCGCGATGGCCGTACACCAGCCGTACACCGGTCAATGAGCGTACGAAGACCTCCTACACAGGACAAGTAACAGTTACAACTTGAAATTTAAGTTGCCATACATTCGCCCATGCATGTTTGGCTGATGCCTTTTCGACACCAGTTACAACAACTTCTACGGCGGCGGCTCAAAGGAATCTCAATAGATCTGGCGGCAGTGACCCACATCTTGATCATGAGCACCGCAGGCGGAACAGCACGCAACGTACGCAAACTGCCTCGCAATGCTGCGCCAATGCAGCGGCGTGCAGCGGACGGGCCCAGATAGTGCGGCAAGTTGCAACCCCGGCAACCCCCGCACCCCCAACACAACATAAGACCCTCCTAGCTATACCCCTACTCGACAGACACGGTAGCGGCTTTCGCTGTGGTTGGCGAGATCTGACCATGCACGTCCGCATGTCCGCATGCCACACCACATACATCGTCATAGTTACGTCGGTAGAAGAGCAGCATTTGCAACTCGTTAATGGCAAGTGGTGGATTAACCTCAATCGATCCGCAGCTTTCATATACCAGCATGTCCTCCCATTTGCAATCTCACATCCAGCCACTCCACACAAAGTAATGAAAGGAAATGAAGCGGAAATTGTATATCGTCGGAAGTCATAAGCACAAAGATAGCCCATCTACCGGCCTGCACACTTATGCGTGCAGGGATGCAGCGGCGGTGAATGCGGCAGGTGGTGAAACACCCTATGCGCGATACTCAAAGCGATTGGCCGCGCCCGGCGATAAAAACGGGCACCGACTGGGCTTCGTGTTGCTCGGGCCCCCAATAGCCACCACCGCAGCGCAGGTGCGAGGGTGCAGATGCGCCCCTCACCATCTGCCGCCACCCCCTGCCGCAGCGAGAGGAGCCCAGGCAGGAGGGCTAGATAGGCTGTGCGGGGCAGCAGCTGGTAGCTGAAGAAAGGAGATAGAATACTTAGCTCGTTTCGTCATCACAACCGAAATCGATGATAACAACATCCAGTGCAAACGTGACCAAATGTGGAAGATAACAGGCAAATGCTTGCCAGGCATGGGATAAGAGACGAAGACCTCGCCGCAAAAACGGCGGCCAAATAGCAGTGGTGCAACAGATGCCCAAGAGTCAAGAAGCGGGACCAACGAAGAAAGAATGGATGGGATGCGAGTTCTCCCCGAATGGAAAAAAATGAGGGGAAAAATTATGGTGATGCAGTGGTTGCATGCAAAGTAAGGATAATAAATGTTTTCCGTCTTCACACCGCCACATACTGATTACCCTGTGCCCTAGCTACCACTGGCATGTGCTTAGAGCCCCCTGGGGCCACTTGGCGCGTCAGCCAGTCGACCGCTGATGGTGCCAGAATCCACAAGGAGTGGAGTGACGGGACCCCGGCTGCAGGGGCTGCGAGTGTCGGTATTCCATATCAGCAGGCTGCTGGTTATTTAGCCTGCAGGTGGTTAGCCAGGTGGTTAGCCAGGTGGTTAGCTAGGGCCAACTACCAACTACCGCCGCCCGACCTCTGCCTCCTCTCGACAAATCAATGCATAACATCAAGATAACTGGATCCTAATCGGAAAACAGAAAAGTCGAGCGGAAAAAATCTCAAGAAGCATTTCTACCGCACATGGTATGGGTACTACGTGAAAATTTCGTCATGGTCAAAGGGGATAAAAGCGCACATGGCGGTGATCACATATACGGTGGTACAGACTAGAAAAATATGACAATCGTCCAACAAGGACAAAGCCTACTAGTACAGAGACAAAAGATGTGCTGTGCATCTCGCACGGGGTGCATCCCATCGTCACGACGCAGGGCACCAACCACTTGATGCCCGGAATGAGGGGACGATGCGGCGTATTCCATTAGCGCACAGACCCCCACGACGCGCGAACGGAAAGGATGCGCGGAGTGAAGGCGATGTTCATTGCATGGCATGGCATGGCATGGCATGGGAAAAGAAGAAAGACATTATCAACAGCAACCCAATAAGCCGCTGTAAACCGCCGATGATGACTTGCTTGCTTAAGCACCACATATACACATATACACATATACACACATGCACACACATGCATGAATGCATGAATGCATGAAAATGCGTGCGCATACATACATACATACGGATATTTAGAAAATCAGAACAGTGATGAAAACTATGGTGGTGACAGCAATGCTGATGCGCCTGATGGGCGCCGAAAAATTGTTGATTGACCCGATCGTCCCTTCGCTCACTCATTCGCTCCAGACGTACGGCACCCAGCCGCTATACGCAAGAAGTGGCTTGCATGTTGGGTTCAGCAGCCGCATGGGGCTGCCAGCGCCACCAAGAATGCATGATGATGTCTCCCGACCATGATGATGATGACGACGGCAACACCACGCAATGAACGAACTTGCAACCCCAAAATTCAACCCAGCAGCACAAAGCACCACCTCCCCATTAGGTGTCTGAAAGTGGCGACCTCCGGTCTCACGACACGGGTTGTTGGAATTCAGTTCTCCACAATTTATTTACTCAATAATTTAAAGAGGTCGTCGGCGTAGCTCGGTAGATGCGAGGGCAGTAAGGGACGGCACGCGGAAGAGGTAAACAAATCGGACCGCACCCGAGAGGATGCAACCGAGCAAATCACACAGCCGCGCATCCATCAGCCCGTGGGCGCGATCCCTGACGCCGAGGTGTGTGTCTCATATGGCCGCATCCACGAACAGCTCCCTTCAACACACATATACATACATATGTACATATATACACACCGCATACGTGCTATGTGTATATGCACGTAGTGAGGCGAGATACTGCTGGTGAGGCCAACCAAATACGACTTTTCCGCTTCTAAAAGGGTTGGGAATGGAGACCCTCAGGCACTCATGTACTCCGTGCAGATGTCTCAACCCCACATGGCCACAATGTATCCGATTGGTCAACCAACCAGCCAACCGACCAACCAACAAGCCAACCGACCAACCGACCAGCCAACCGACCAACCGACCGACCCTATCCGCCCCACTGGTGAGTTGGCGGCTTGAGGTTACAGACACCGACCTGGCGGCTACCCAGCTAGCCAGCTAGCCAGCTAGCCAGCTGGGGGTCCAACACTCCGTTGTCATTATTATTATCGAGATGTCCAACACAACGGTTTGACTGCTTGCCGGCAAGTTCGTTCCAATCGAGCGACAGGCAGGGGGCTCTCCCTCCCCAACCCACCTATCCGGACACACGTGCGCGCACTCAACCTCCAACCAGCGGACAACTCAGCTACCTCCCCTCCATTCAGTAGTTCTCATCAATTCTCCCCCACTCCCCAACCCCCCACTCCCCAACCCCCCACTCCCCAACCCCCCACTCCCCAACCCCCCACTCCCCAACCAGCCTGGCCCCCCTCTGAGCCCACGGCCGCAGCAGCAGCGCGGAGGTAGGCGACCCAGTCGCACTGTCCCCTCAAGCGCCTGCGGCGCTCCACCTCAGATCAGAGCTATGCGCTGCCACACTTTCTACCCGGCCAGTGAGCCAGCTCACCTCCCAGCAGCTCTCAGGCGACTCCGAGGGGGGGGATCAGCTCCTAGGACAGGGCCCCACGTCGCCCTGCCGGTGGCCTGCGGGCGGCTCACCAGCGAAGGGAGGCACCTCGGACCCCTCCTCAAGCAGCGTGGAGATGATGGCTCCCAGGGCGCGCAGCCGTTGAAGCCGCTCGCCCACCTCCTCCACTGCTGCTGCGGCGGCGGTAGCGGCTGCAGCGGCGGCTTCGGCAGCAGCAGCGCCCGCAGCGCCCGCGGCCTTGACGCCGGGGGCCGCGGCTACATCATCATCGTCATCATCGGTGGATTCGCTGCTGCCGTCGCCTGTGGAAGCCGCTGCCGCTGTCGCTGCGGCGGCCGCAGCCGCCGCCGCCGCCGCTGCTGCTGCTGCTGCAGCGGTCGCCGCCGCCATGGGCGTGAGCCGCACCAGTTGTGAATTCCGCGGCTCACCGGCAGCAGCAGTAGCAGCGTCAGCGGCGGCGTCGGAGACGGCGTCGGAGGCGGTGCCGGCGGCTGTGCCACCAGCAGCCGCAGCGGGGTTGGGACCTCTAATCCCAGCTTTGGCTTTGGCGCCAGCGGTGCCGCTGCCTGCCGCGGCGACCGTGATGGCCGCCGCGGCGGCCGTGAGCTGGGCGGTCAGTATCTTCTGGGCCCCCTCCAGCGCCGCCAGGTCGGGCTGCTCCTGGCCCGCAAAGTCCTTGGCGGTGGGCAGTGAGTCCATTGAGGAGATGTGTATACCCGCAGCCGCAGCGGCCCCAACCAGCGTGAACTTGGGCGCCCCGCCGTCCGCCTCCTCCTGCTGGCCCTCCCTGGGGTTATCGGGGCCCTGCTGGGCCCCACTGCCGGGGTCGGACTCGGGCTTGGCGGAGCCGGGCCCTGGGGTGGCTCCGGGGCCCTCATGGCTGTCGGTGTCCAGGGAGGGTGAGGTGGTGAGGGAGGGGTCCTGGGTGCCGCCGTACGCCAGACCCACCACCTGACGTACCCGGACCCTCTCCTCCTGTGGGGGGTTTGCGGGGGTGGGACAGTGGTGTGTGTGTGTGTGGAGAGTCAAGGGAGGGTGCGGCAGGGCATGTGCGCACTCGGTAAAGGCCGACACCGGTTCCACTGAGGTGCTTCCCAACGGCCCTGAGGCGCCCACATCAGGACATGGATGCGTGCAAGTTGTTGGGTGGCCTTGAGGGTGAGGGCTGGAGGGTGAGGGCTGGAGGGTGAGGGTGTGAGAGGGGTGGTTGCAGTGCGAGCTGGGTGACCGAGCTGGCAGAGCAAGGGGCGGTCCCTCGGGGGGGAGACCTCACGGCGGGACCCGCACCAAGGGGGGGAGGAGGGAGGGGGGGGGGGAGGGAGGGGAGACAAGAGTGGCCGCCAGACAGGGCGGTCAGTCCGGGGGAGAGGAGGCCCTGCTGTTCTCGCCCGCTCCGTTCCAATGCGGGCCCCTGATGCTCCCATGGTGCACACGTCCCTGTCCGAATTGCAACCGCAAACACAGGGCCACAGACATAGAGGTTCCACAGCCCATAATCACCCCGCACAAGGAACCCGACAACACCTCCACCCCCACCCCCACCCCCTCCGGGCCCACCTGCAGCCAGGCCTCCCTCACTGACTGCATGGCGCGCAGGAAGCGCAGCCGCTTGAATGCCGCCCTCTGACCAGGTGACCAGCCGGGCAGCGCCGAGGCAAAAGCAACAGCAGCAGCAGCAGCAGCCCCGCTGCCGCCTGCTGCTGCTGCCGCTGCTCCTGCAGGTGCGGGTGCGGGTGCCGCTCCCCCTCTGCTTGTAACCTGCCCCAGGGCAGCCGCCCAGCTGACCTTCCGCGGCGTGAGGAGGCTCTGGATGTCGTCACCGCGCTGAAGGCTCGGAGGGTGGGGGGGGGCGGAGGCGGGGAGGGAGGGCAACAAGCAAAGGAAAGAGGGTCAGCGAGCGCCCGGGACCCGGGAGGGCCCCAAGCAGGGAAAGGACTCTCGCAGCTGCGTCATCCGCTTCCTGAGGGGTGCGAAGCGACAGCAACACTCCCATCCCCCACCCCCACCCCCACCCCCGACTCCTACAGGGTCCCGGTAGACCTGCACCGCCCCCCGGAGCCCTCCGCCCTCCCCCAGGGGCCCCCAGCATCACCACCAAATGCCACTGCTGACCGCTTTCGCCCCTTTCCTGGCCCCCCCGTTCAACCATCCACCCCCTTCTTCCCCTCACTCCCCGCGCTCCCCGCTGCTACGCACCTCCACCGCCGGAGACAAGGTGGGAATGTCCGGCACCCAGCCGCGACGGATGAGGGCCACAGCCCCCTCCACAGTCGGAAGGGACTCCCTGGCCTCAGCGGCGGCGGCGGCGGCGGCGGCTTGGGCGGCCGCGGAAGCGAAGCGGCCGGGGGAGCCCCCATTGCCGCGACTCTTGTTGGAGTGGGCAGTGGCGCGGTAGAACGAGGTGTTGGCGGCGGGTGCGGCCGCCTCAGCATGGCGGATGCCCCCATCGCTGCCGTACACGACTCGAAGGTACTGCCGTATACATTCGTCGTTACAATCTTGTACGGTGGACTTCAGTACGGCGGCAAGCAGCGATGGCGGTACGAAGTGCACGCGGGCCTTGCTCGCTGTGTCGACCAGGGCGTCCTCGATAGCCTGGCGGTGCGCCCGGCCCCACCCGGCCCCGGGGGCCCATGGCGGCGTTGGGATAGGGGTCGGGGTCGGGGGACCCGCGGGAAGGGGGGCGGCGGCGGCGGAAGGTTCACGTCAGATACGTGCCAGCCAACTGAAGCAGCACTTCGAATCGAGCTGGGGGTTGTGGGCGATAGGGCGAGGGCGCGGCAGGAGCAGCAAGAGCAGGAGCAACTCACCCCACCCCTCCCCTTCCAACTGCACACACACACACACCCAATCGCCCCCTCCCCCCCCCACCTGCAGCGCCTCCAGCCGTTCCTCGATATGCTGCGTGCGTATGGTCTCCGCGAACACCCCCTGGTTGAGATCCCGGTCGGCGTCGAACAGCCGCCGGTACATGATGGTCTCGGAGCCCGACCACTCAGTGTCCAGAGCCTCCAGCAGCTAGGGGAGGGGGGCCCCAGGAGGGGGGAGGGGGGAGCGGGGGGAGGGGGGAGGGGGGGGAGCGCGTTGAAACGCGCGGAGAGGGGATGTGGAGGGAAGGCCATGATATGGCGGGTAGGGAGCGGGACGAGCAATTAGTAAAATATGAAAACGTACACCATTATTGAGAGGCTATGAAATCCCTGGCATAGCGGCCATGTCACTGTTCCCGGGTGCTGGGTGGAAACGGGTCTGGGCAGGGGCCCCGCGCGCAGGCGGGGCGCAAGAGGGCCACTTCCCGCACTCACCTCTTCAAAGCGGGCCCGGCTCTTGTACGGAAAGAAACCCTGCCGCCGCCGCCGCCGCCGGGGAGAGCAGGGTTACATGCGCATTAGGAATTGTTGCGGGGGTCGCGGGGGGGGGGTAGGCGGCGTTGGGTTAGCGGACGAGGGTGACCCAATCAATGCCTACCGGCACCCGGTCCCCCTGGCGGACACGGCGCTCAGAAAACACTGCAGGGGCCAGCAACTGCCGTACAAGACCGCGGGGACACCCCCGGTGGCGACCTACCTACCGCAGTAACGCCCTCCAACCTGAAAGGCCCTGCAGGTGTACGGAAGAAAACAAACCAGGGACACAACACCGTTCTCTCCCCCCCCCGTCCTTCCCCACCACACCGGCCACTTTCTTTCTTCCACCTGCTTCCCCCTGGCCCCC